GGCTCAATCTTGGGCATTCGGTCATCCAGTCTATCCCCGCAGCAATCATATGGTCAATGTCAATTCGAGCATCCTTGAGGCGTTGTATCCTCGCCTCATGCTTTTCTGCGTAGAATTCAGCTCGCAGTCGCCGATGTTCTCTAAGTTGAGGCGCAAGTGCATCCTCGGTATCGTAGTCAAAGCCCTGAAGTGCATGTTCCCTACCCTAACGGCTTCGGAGCTTCTCACGAATCTTCTTCTCAAGCTCAACAACGGGGTCCAGCTTTGCTAATCTCTCTTGTTCTTTCCTTTCGCGTTCCTTCTGCGCCTGCTCTTCCATTTCCCGGACTAGCATGCATATTTGGTGCTCGCGTTCCGACTCAGAGCCATAGTCCGTTCCATCTTCCATATCCTCGTCATTTCTTTCTACTACTTTGGGGGCTGGCTTTTCCTTTATAGGAAATATTCAATGCTTTGTAAACTCCGTTGCACTATCATATCTCTTTTCCTGTCAGCTGTTAGCTGTGCGTGATCATGTACATCCTTCTCAAGGGCCAAAGTTGGGATGGAGAAAGCAACTCACATTGGTCCACTCTTCCTTTGACTTTTGAAAGAAGTCGTTTTCCGGCCATGTCCTGAACATCGGATTCATGTATCGGGTCAAGTCTCTGTGAGCCGTAGATTTCCCATGGTCTCTACTGCATCCTGACAGACGCGACCCTCCATACTGGAGAGCTTTTACATACGAGCCATGGTAGTTGTACTGCCAAACCTCGACTCTTTTCTCTTTCCCAGTATAGAGTAAGTCGTATACCGTCTTTCTAAGCATCTCGAGGATATTAAGCATTCGCGATATCTCTCGCTACATTCTCACCAACTACATGTGGGTCCATGATGTAGCTATCTGGGAGCATGAAAGCGCACTCCGAACGTCGGTAAAGTGAATCTTCCGGCGAAGCACGGTCTGGGTCAACCTTTACATTCCATAATATCAATCGATCATAGGGCCCTATGATATGTTCGTAGATCATGTCCCTGACTTCTTGGGGCATCTTCCTTCTATCGAAGGCACAGGCAATTGAACGACGCTCTTGATTGGCAGTGATTGAAGCCAGCACTGCTTGGTGGCGCATTTTAGGAGTAGCCGTGGGTCTGTAGGCTTTGGTCAGTTGATTGTTAACACAGCGCGTGCTGAGCATGTACCGTTTTTTTTTGGTCGATCCCCTATTCTGTGCCTCCGTTGTTGCAAAAAACGTCGTCTAGCCTCATCTTGAATAGCCGTATTTGCGTCCACCATAACTTCGTCAGCCATAGTCACCGATAGATAAAGGCAGCAATTGGTATCCCTCGTGCGATGTTGGCAATGCTGCGAAAGCCTCCCCTGCGTGGTCAACGTAAAGCTGTTCCAATTGATGGTCTGAGGAAGGGTGGTGGAGAAAGCAGAAGAGTAAATCCTGGAGGAGAAGAACGGTGAGATGACTAGTACACCCTGACTAGTATGGCGAAACCAATCAACACATCAAGATAATCTTAGCTAGCGCTAAAGCAGCAATCTATCACCCTGCACCTGGATTACCGGCAAGCGCGCTGCGCGAACAGCGAACACAAGCGGGTAACGTACGGAGAGTGGGTTTGGGCGAAGTCGGGACGAAACCGGTAAGTAACGACTTGGTATCTGAGTCGTATCGCGGCCCATTCCGTGTTGGTTGGCGCACCAGCTGTGGTCGCGATACAGTTAAATTTGGTTGACCTGAAGGTGTTTGCTGACTATGAGTTGCTTTTGGCTTGGCGCGACCCATCCCAGACGGCAGCTGAACTCCGGAAACAACCAAACCATGATATAATAGTATAACATTATTAGACACCCATAATCTCATCACCAAAAGTACATCAGATTCTCTCATATACAAAAAGATATCCTCATCACCACCCATCATCATTATGACATCGCACCCTATAAATCTCTTGTCATTAAACCTTCACATTATGCGGCAGCAATAGACTCAGTTCTCACAGCAGCATCAACCTTCTCTTCATACCTGTCAAACACAGCGGTGCCCTCAACATGCGTATCCGCAAACACATCCACGTGCGTGCTTGCAAACTTGCGTGCGCTAATATTCTTCTCAAACAGCAGGTCCAGCTCGGCGAAGCTGCGGCCACGCGGTTCAGGCAATCGGAAGTATGTGTATACGATACTAAGGAAGCAGGAACCACCCCAGAAGAAACCGGCGTAGTTACCCCTGTGGAAAGTTTGTTAGCGAATGAATATGGAGCTGTAAAGGTGGGGTGGCTTACCAGTTCCAGGCTCCAGGGTTGAGCATGTAGGGCGTTAGGACGCCGGTGATGATACCGATTACGTTGTAGAGGTTGCGACCGAGAACCACGGTCTTGATAGCGAGACGACGGGTTGAGAGTTCAGCGACGAGCGAGTAGCATACGGTACCGACTGTGAGCTGGTAAAACATGGCCCAGACAATCATCATAGATCCCGTTGCCATGGCGCCCTTCTCGCGTTGAGAATCTGGTACCAGGCCGAGGAAGCCCATGACGAATAGCATGGCGCAGAGACCGCAGAGACCGGCAAGGTATAGTGTTCGTCGTCCAATTCCAAGCTTCATCAGATACCATGCGCCGAATACGCCGGCCATGTTGATGCCGTACTGTCCCATGGCGAAATCGTAGGATGTTGATGCTGGTAGACCGGCCTGTTGAAGGAAGTAGGATGAGTATCCAGAGAAAGCGTTGCCACTCAAGTTCTGCATCGCCCATGCCATGCAAACAATCTCTGTTCGACGTAGATCGGTACCCTTGAAACAATCCCAGTAGCTTGCTCCTTGGGTGATCTGCTCTTCAAGCGCAGTCGTGTGCACCATCATCGCAATCGTCTCATCAGCATCGAAATCAGTCTCGCGGTCCAGACTAGTGAGCCGGAGAAGCGATTTCTTCGCCTCTTCCAGTCGGCCTTTGCGGACAAGCCACCATGGCGATTCGGGGGCTAGAGCGACACCAATGATGAGAGGTACGGGCCACATCCATTGGAGAGCATAAGGGATACGGTAGGACCATTCGTCATCTCGGTTGACCATGGATCGGATGACACCGATTCCGATGACCTGACCAAGACCCCAGCAAAAGTTGACGTACGTCGTCACTGGAATCGTCAGCTCGTGTCCTTGGTTAAATTTATATAAGTGACTTACAGTATCCACGTAGAGCAACAGGGCAAACCTCGCAAGCGTATGTGATGGTAAGCGTCTGAAAGACACCCCATGGAATACCACACAGAATCTCTGCTACCAGCAAGTGTACAACCGTCTGCGCCGTGAAGAAGATTGTCGTAAATCCAATGATCAAGGTTAGACACCCCATCACAGTGTATCTATACCCAATAGACTCGCTAATCCAACCGTTCAAGAACAAACCGATGATTTCGCCCACAATGACTCCGTTTGATAGTCCTGCCTGCCATGGTGCCGGAATTTCCCACGATCCGTCCGGAAGCTGTTCGCCGTATTTCCGCTTGAATTGAGGAAAGCCGAAGAAGTTGTTGAGCAGACAGACATCGTAGCCTTCCATGACGATACATGTGCTAATCAAGACAGACCACCCAATCGCCTTTGGATAGAGTTTGATACCCTGCATCAGGGTCATCTTCCGTTCCTTGTCGGATGCAAGTCGCGCATCGTTGACAATCCTGTCGGCAGCGCGTTTGTGTTCAAACTCATGGTCGGCATCATGGTCCACTGGAGGAGCACCGGAGGGCTGTATGTCCTTTTCTTCAGCCATGTTGTGTATCTTGTTTTTGTCGCCAATCGGACCGATGGCGATCCTCTGAATTGCGTTAGGAGGATTGTGGGGACAGCAGCACCGCTCCACTTGCTCTCTCAACTAAAAGCAAAGCAAAGAACCTGGGGAAATGGCTGACCGTAGCTTTGGGTGGTAAGGGACATTGAAGACGGCCTTTAAGCACAAAATTTTGCGGGGTCTAGGGCATCGTTTGGGACAAGCGTAGCTGTAGCGCGGACCAGGGTCTTGGTCGCGTGCAGACAAGTGGAGCTTTCATCTCCTGCGGCGGAGGCGGAACGTGATTGGATGGGGGAATATGCCCACCTGCTCGGTCTGGTAAGCCCATCGTGACTGGTGCTGAATTCTCGGGAGGGTTACCGTTGACAGAACCTTGTGCACAAAACGTGCATGGCTCACTCTTAGCCAACATGTCAAGGTGCTGATGATCGGAGAATTGGCTGTCGGACTAACGATGGCTTTGTCTCTACGCAGAGACGCATCTCCAGCACAACCATTTTCACAAACGATCAATGTCACCAAGTATTCGTCTTTGCAATGCCGGCGTACTTTCCGATACCCGGACAAGCACTCCAAGACGTTCTGCCGAGGCAGGAGGCCTGAGGCGCCTTCACAGTCACTTGGCTGTGTTCGTGTTCTGGTGCCATCCATCGGTTCTTGGAACCTTCTAGCGCATCGTGAGCGGGGAAAAATACTTCATGAAATTGTGTCTCTCCACATTCCACACGGAGACTAAAGGGCCGCTCCAGCGGTATAGAGTTTACACTTCACATTCGCCGTTGGAAAACTAGGGATCAAGCACTAGATGCAACTAGCCAAGGCATGACAGAACTCCAACTGCCGTTCTAACAGCCACTCGAGACGAGCGCATCCACAGCATCATATGGCTCACTAGCCTTATTCTTCCATTCACAAGCGTGTGCACTATCGTACAAGCTTTCCAATCCGGAAGGAATCACGGAGGAGGCGCAACTAGAACACCGCAAACTAATTTGCTGTCTTTCCCCACACATGTCGTGTAGTTCCCCGCACATTCAGCCGCGCCGGGGAGAATTACCCCCCAGCTCCTGACACAGCACTTATTCCGCCTCAACTTGCTCAGGTTCATCCTTTCTTGGTTGCACTCTCCCACCGAAGAACGCTAGTAGCAAGAGATCATATGCCGCCTTCAAACTGCCGGCTACCACAAAAGCCACCCAGAAATGGTTGCTACCCGCCAACACACCAGTGATGCTTGGCCCACTGCTCTGAGACAGAATTTTGAGTATGTTGACTACACCCATTACCGCTGTTCGCTCCTCGGGCAAGACAACAATGGAGAGAAAGGCCGATCGAGGCGCTTGATCCATGGAGTTGAGTATTGAACGGCCTACTAGGAGACAAATGGTAGGTGCTAGGCCGGACGGTACGGGGAGAAGGGCTAGGAAGACGGAAGAGGGGAGATGGGTAAAGACCATGGCTTGAATCAAGCCGATGCGCTTGGCCACACTAGACGCGAAGACATTGCCAATCGTTGAGACAAACCTATCCATCAATCAGTCAATCGTTCGAGCTACCGACGTTTACCCAGAGCGGCGACTCACCAAGTTGCGGACATGATACCGCCTAGCGTTCCCTTTGCTAGATCGAACTTGCGCTCCAGGTAGTAATTGATTAGACTGAACGGCACCATTCCAGAGCCGAGCGAGTCGAGGAAGAACAAGCTACAGAGCTTGACAAGCACAACGCGACTCGGCTTTGAGATTGTGCTGACAGAGTCCCAGAGCTTCTTCTTTGGTTTCGCAGGGGCTTCTACCAGTGCTGTATCCGAACTTTCGGCATTACCGTTGCCATTCAGCAGTGGCTCAGCTTCAGCAGTGCTATGGTGATTCTCGTTCCAGTCGTCATGCTCACACTTCCGGCTCAGGAAAATTGTCATTAGAGCCTTGACCACGCCAACACCTGTATAGATCCAAAAGATAGTGCGATACACATCCAGATCTGACCATCCCTCAATTGCCTGCAAGCTATCGACTGCTACACCACCAATCGCTAATCCAGTCGAAGTTCCCAATACAGCCAAAACGACGTACCACGTATATACGTCTGATCTCTTGTCCTCGGCCACCAGGTGCGCTAACGTCGACTCCTCAACCGCTCTAAATGGACCAATCTCGTTTCCACTCGGACTAATCACACCAACAATGGCAGCCAAAAGTAGTGCAACATAGTTGCTGGTGGTCGCAAACACAGCGCCAGATATCGCCATCGACACAGCGCCTAGTAGTAGAATGCGGCGACGTCCAAGTGTATCCGCAATAAGCGTAAAGAGCAGGCTGATGAGCACATCTCCCAACAAGGTCAATGTCATGAAAAGCCCTATCTGCTCATCTGAGAATCCCTGCTCTTGGAAGAAAAGTGCTAGAATGAGTGCGACGGCACCATAGGCGGCGAGTCGGATGTATCGTGCCAGAATGATGATGTAGACATCTTTGCCTGCATGTCTCATTGTTGCAAGACCGAGTTCATGAGCGAGCCATGTTGCTGCTTTGCCAATGACATTTCCGGATGACATGTTCCAAGACTAGGGTGCTGATAATGGGCCTGGACTCGTATTTCCGGGCGTGTGTCGGAGAAGGCGAGCGAAAGACTCTTGTGGTGTCCTCGGGTGGTTAAGGAAAGATCAGGACATTGCGATTGTCTTTGCAGTCGAAGGAATCTTTTGTATCGACATGAGCATGCTTGGCGAAGTATATTTGGCTGTCTGCCTAGATGGGAGGCCTGGTATGTATCGGCGTCATATGTCAGCGCCAATATTTTGCCGAAAGCGGGAAGGAAGCTGCACGGCTGTCGGCCGGCAAAGGCCCTGAGTGGCAGAAGCAACGCAGCAAAAGCAATACGCTGAATCAAGCAACATTATGACGATGGTACCCCTCTACTTAGCAGCCTTATAGTCCATTTGCATCACGTGTGCATTGTCACTAGTTCTGACGAGTGATTGTGCACGAATTCACAAGTCAATAGCATAGGGGACTGGGAGATAAAGTATTTGCCCACATTAAGAACACCTAGAAGACTCCGAAGGAAAGAGACCTAGCGGCCACGACAAATTGTAATGCAGACACGGGCATATCCCGAAAATCCAAACGAAAGCCCCCATTCTAAGCGAGTCGCGTCGCCATGCCACACATAGACAAGGACAAAGACGTGGAGATGATGACGAATGGGAGAGACATGACGGTCATGTATCAGTGAGCATTATAGTAGTACCGCACCACATCCGCAATCGCATATAGAGATCGGAACTCGAGAACCGACGCCTTGTGTCGCTTGTCTTTGGACGCTTGTACGTTTCCCGACACATTCAATTGTTCCCTTCTTCTCTAGCAGCAGCCGCCACCCGATCCGCTCTGTACGCCTTGGCCCTGCCCGATGGGGACTGTGGGCTTCGTGTTGGCGGTTGTGGTACCCATGCGCTCCTTGATCTGGCGGGCCATGGTGAGGAAAGCTTGCTCGACGTTGGTGGCGCTCTTCGCGGACGTCTCGAGGAAGGGGATGCCGAGGCTGTCTGCAAATTCCTAACGGATTTGTTAAATGATGCTTGGTTTGGAAATGATAGAATGGACGTACCTTGGCCACGGTGTACTCGACAACCTTCTTGTCCGCCATATCGGACTTGTTGCCTACGAGCAGCTTGTTGACGCCCTCTGTAGCGTATCGGTCAATCTCCTGCAGCCACTGCTTGACGTTGTTGAATGAGTCCATGTCGGTCACATCGTAGACGACGCAGATGCCGTGGGCGCCACGGTAGTACGAAGATGTGATGGTGCGGAAACGCTCTTGGCCGGCGGTATCCCACTGTAGGAGGCTGTTAGTACCCGCCCTTAACCGCTACATTTTGCCGGTATACTTACAATCTGTAGCTTCACCGTCTTGCCATCGAGCTCGATGGTCCGGATTTTCTGGTGCGAATTAGATTAGGCGCAAGCTTTGAGGCAAGTCTCCCGGCAAACGTACGAAATCGACACCGATGGTGGAGATGTAGCTCTCTGTGTATGTGTCGTCTGCGAAACGCAGCAGCAGGCAGGACTTTCCGACACCAGAGTCACCGATAAGGAGTAGCTTGAAGAGGTAGTCGTATCTATTATGCAGCGCACCGTCAGCGGGGGGTCTTTGTCGAGCTCATGTACAGCGCCGGAGCTGCACATTTTAGAGGCAGTACTCTGTAGAATCTCGGGTTAGCATAGCTCTAGAAGCACATCTGACGTCGTTGTTCCTCGGCCTGTGGCGGTGGATGTTGCGCGGGAGGTTACGTACCACTCAGGATTCATGTCGGCGGTGTTGCGGGGGTTCGAAAATGTAAAAGGCAAGAAGGTGTTCGTAAGCGGTTTGATCCGAGGCAGAAGTCGTTGTATATAGTGCGTCGTCGGGTGCGGACGAGGTTGATGTAGAGGTCGACGAAGTGCACTGCGTGGATCCCAGGTGTGAAGGAGCTTGGCATTCAGCCCCAAACCCGTGGTCACAAGTTACCTTAGCCCGTCGCGCCAGGGAACCTCTCACATGCACCCACGGTTACCTATCTGGCCCTAACTTGCTTCGGCAAAGGCCACTGGACTTGCTTAACTATCACCATTGTCTGACGTCTGACTTTTAGTAGTAGATCGGTTGGCACACCGAGTGAATCACAGTCAGACAGTCAGCCACAGTTGAGGGGTGTCATCGGTATATTCACGTGACAACCACCCAAGTCTTGGATACATCGCATCACCGTTTCACTTTCACGTGTGCACAAGCAGGCAAACTAACCGCTAGTGGAATGGAGAATGTGTAGTTCGTTCGCATTAGTATGCGCTCTTCGCACGTCGTTGCCTTGGACGTAGCCCAGCCTGCCAAATATAAAGCACCTGTAACCCCAAGCTTCCCATATAATACAGTTATCATCAGCACAGATCCAACGCAATTTTACATAATCTTTCCGAATGCAGGGATCAGCGTTTGTGCCAACCAGAAGGAGAAGACGAGCTTGGGGCCAGTCATGAGCAGCTTTGGTGTCAGGCCCTTGAAGAAGGAAGTGGGACCCTCGTGCTTCATCATGTTGGACACGATCCGGAAGCCGCTCTCGGGGTTCTCGAAGTTTCTGTTCTGGATACGGGTCTTGATGACATCAAGAGGAGCAGAGACGACGAGGGATGCGCTGGCACCGGCGATGGACGCGACAAAGTTTTGCGACCATGATGCCGAGTTGTAGTCTGTGAGTTTGTACAAGTACTCCTTGGCTACGGCGGAACCACCGAACAGCTAATACGTCGTTAGTTTTGGCCTGTGCCTAGCGAGAGTGTCTGAACATACCGCAAACGAGCCTGGTGCGTTACGTGCCGCTGTCCACCCCCAACCACGGTATAGTCCGAATCCTTCGTCTGAGATGATCCTGATCAACCCACGTCCGCGGAAAGCTTCGGGGTTTGTTTGTCGCTTAATCTTGAGTACGTCGAGAGGCAGGAGGACGATTTCACCGATACCGATAATCGAACCAGCAGTCGCGTGCATGATAGCCTTGCCATTACCCTTGCCGAATGCGCGATCGAAGCTTCCGCCGTGGTGCTGAGCAAGGTAGTCTCGGACAAACGGCTGTCCACCGAACTTGTACACACGTTGAAGGATCTGGTACTGTCAGTCCGTGTATCATCCCGCTCAAGAACATAGAGTCTACCTTGTAGGCTGCTGCGTATCCGAGACCAGGGAACAGAGAGAGGAATCGGCCAGAGACGGAGGCCGAAGCCGCGTCCCTAAAGACAACCTTGTTCAAGTGTGATGCGGATTCGATCTATGTCATTTCCAGTCAGACGCGATCGTAGTGGGGTGTAGTATCGTGGCGCACCTTGCCAATGTTGCTCATCAGTCGCTTCGCTGTGGTGTCTACAGGGTGGAACACCATGAGTTCTGCAATTCCCGCACATCCTGCTTTTGTTAGACATGCAATTGAAATCATTCAGGGTCTATGTACCTGCTCCCAGTACTCTGGCTGTGTTGGACTCTCTCTTGTACACCTTTGCTGACGACTCGGTGCCGGCAGCAGCCTGCGCAACTTTCGCTACCGCTTCCGAAGGTGATGGCGTCATTTTGAAACGAAGTGTGGAAAGAGGGTTACGAGAAGAAGGAGGTGAAAGAGGGAACAGCAGCGCAAAGCAATTGGGGTACTTAGCAGCGAAGAACGGCAGCTGGAGATAAGCAGCTCTGCGGATCCTGGAAAGCCCACTTGGAAAAAAAGTTCGTCGGGGAAGCGAATTCAAAGTCCGGTGTCGCCCCGCCAAGTCCCCTCAACACCGGAATCCTGGGGATTACGCCATTTTGACAACCTCATCAGGTCTATATCCTTTGTTTCTTCGTAAACGTAGGCTTTGAAAAACAGCTATCCTTATCAAAAACAGGACATCGATTGTGCCTAGTGACCGACAAGATGCGACACGTTTTCAGTTTTCAAGCCTTTTGACATTCATGGCGTGCGCATTGCACTTTCACAGCTCTAGATTGTGTACAGCCATATTCTCAAGGGTACAACATGGGAGATTGGTGATTTGAAAAAGAAGCAGAGTTCGCCCAAGAATTTTGCAACGTACTCTCACTTGCATTAGCCAGATACCGTTTGAAAACCATATCCCGGTCGACTACAATAGTATGAATACCGCCATCTTCGAACAGGCGCGTAAATAAGATCTTCCGAATGCACAACTAAGTCCCGAGATTTGCGACTAATATTCCAGGCTAAACATCAGGCGTGCAGTCAGAATGAGCTTATCATCATCTCCCCGCCAAGTAGCGACACCACAACACGAACCCCATACCGGCAACCCTCAACGAAAGAACTCTACATTAAAACATCACCATGTTCGACAAACTCCGTGGAAAATCCCCTTCAGGCCACTCAAAACAAGACTCCACAACCTCAACTACCAGCTTCTCCCGCCCCACTCCACCTCCCGCCTACACGTCCCCCTCCCAAACAACCTTCGCCTCCCTCTCCCTCCACATGGAAGACCGCCTCCGCTTCCTCCGCTTCCCCGCCCCCATCCTAACAACCTGCACCGCCACAATCCTTGCCCACTGGCCTCCCGGTATCCAACAAGAGCGACCCTACGCCACCTCACACGAGATCAAACTAAACGGCTACCCCTGGCGCGGCTACGGCCAAGAAGCAGCACAAGCCCGTCGTCTAATGAAAGCACTACTATCGACCCTACATTCCAACGGCTGGATCCTAACACTCAACACTGATATCACAAAGACAGCAACGGATAAAGATACACTCGTCTTCCGGTACCAGAGCCCCGCGCCGCCGGAGCACGAATGGTGCTGTGTGGCGTTTAGTCGACAGGATCGGTTGCGGTTTGTTGATGCGCCGGCGTCGTTGTATGCGGAGTTGGAGGCGAGGTTGGGCGGCAGCGGTGAGGAGTGGGTCAAGGGGCAAGGGGAGTATGCGGAGGGGATTTGGGAGTTTAAACTCGTGGGACATCCGTGGCAGGCGACTGGGACGACGACAATGCGTGTTAGGGAGCTGTTGATTGTGCTGGTGGAGATGCTGGAGGCGGAGGGGTGGGGGGTGTATGCGAGTATTGATCAGAAGAGTGGTGCGGCGCAGGGGACGAGTGGGACGGATACGTGGCATTGTTGTAGGGTGAAGGGGTGGGAGAAGGGGATGCCTGTGTACATGAGATGACATAGAAGAAACATCTTGGAATCCCACGTCGTGCGAAAGTGTAGCACATGAAGTTTCTTCTTTCCCTCAGTTACTATGTATTGTATCAACCATCAAGAACGCCGGCCATGCATTTCAAAGTGGGTATAAAAAACTTTTACAAGCTCTCGTCCCGCTCATGATGGAGGACTGCCAATCTCCTTCTTGACCCAGTTCTCCAGGCCGCCAAGGGCGATGATTTCTTGAACGTTGGGTGGCAGCTCACCGACCTTGACGTTCCACTTGGAGCCATTGGGACCTTCCTGAACAGAGACAGTGCTCCTGCGAACATCCCATTCTAAAGTCCAGCCAGTGCGGCGGGTCAGTTGCTTAGCCTGGGTAGGCTGGGCTGCGGCTGCGGGTGGTGGCGAATCAAGCGATTCGCGGTTGTTTGAAGGCTCCTTGATGGCTTGCTGTGATGAAGAAGCATCTTTGGAGGAAAAGGCCTCGCGGAGACGGTTGGCTAGCTTGGGTACCTCGACACCCATAAGGGCGTTGTTGATGCTGTTCCTGCTAAAGATGTTGCCAAAGCTGCCGGCAACCACTAGCGGAATGCCCTTAGCCAGGATAGCGGTTGCAGCTTGTTCACGGCTGCTACCGCAGCCAAAGTTGAAGCCTGATACAAGAATATCACCTGCCTTTGCCATTTGACCAAAGCTAGGATCGTAGTTCTCCATGCACACTTCAGCCATCTTCTCCCTGGTCACATCATCTTGGTACGTGTATTTGCCGGGATAGATACCATCGGTATTGATGTTGTCTGCGTCGCAGAAGACAATCTCGCCGCTGATCTTTTCGGGGAAGCCCGGGAGGATCTCAGTCAAGGTCTCGGCATCTGATGTGGGCGGAGTGACGGATTGGGTTTCGGAAGAATCGCTGCCGAAGGTGTCGATAGCAGCCTCAGCATCCTTGATAGCCTTCTCAAGCATATCTTCGATAGTCATCATACGCTCTTCTGCTGGAATGCCATCGCCTTCTCCTCGTCGGACACCCTCATAGCCCTCGGGAGCTTCATACCATCCTGGCCCAGAGATCGTGCCAGACAAAGCACTAGCTGCAACAACCTCGGGACTGGCGAGGTATGCCTTTGCGTCAGGAGACCCCATACGGCCCTTGAAGTTACGGTTGCTAGCACTGATACCAACCTCGCCGGGTTCAAGGAGACCTGTACCCAGGCCGATACACGGACCGCAACCAGAAGGTAAGGGCTGAGCACCTGCTTCGAGGAGAATCTGCCAATCGCCTGCTTCCTCGGCCGCCTTTTGCTCCGGGATAGATGCAGCAGCAATGTAGAAGTTTACGTGATCTGGGATCTTGGGGATCTTGCCACCGTTGAGAACAGCTGCATCCTTGAAGACATTTGCAGCTGCGGCGATGTCAGAGGCACGCGAGTTCGTGCATGACACAAGATAAGCTTTGTTGATCGGGATGTTTTGGCTTTGTAGTTCGAGCAGGGGTGTAGCGACCTTGACAGAGTTTGGGCCGGAAACGTATGGTGACAGAGTGGAAAGATCTAAGAAGAGCTCTTTGGCATATACAGCGCCCTTGTCCGCTGCCAAGGCAGGCTTGAAGATGTGGCCCAACTTTTCTCCAACGATACCGGTTGCAGTGAAAAGTTTGTCGATGCGCTCGTGGACAAACTGTTGCTGGTGGTGATCTTTGGTTTGTCCTTCTCCCATGGCTGCGAGAGTAGCTCTTGCCCTTAACCAGCCATGGAGGACAGAGTCGATGGGAAACAGACCAGTAAGAGCACCCCATTCAGTGGTCATGTTCGCAATGGTAAGGCGGTCATCAACCGGGATACTGCCGAGAGTCTCATCGGTTCCGGTAAACTCGATTGCGTGGTTGAGAACCTCATCCTTGTTGAACAGTCCGGCCAGAGCTACAATGACATCTTTGCCGGTCACACCTTGGGGCATCTTGCCGTTGAGGGTGACCTTTGCGACAGGAGGTATTTGCCACCATGTCTTGCCCGTCGCCCAAATACTTGCAGCGTCGGTTCGGACTACAGGAGTACCCAGACATCCGATGCCACCGTACATGTTGGAATGACTGTCGGAAGCCACAGCCAATGTTCCAGGCCAGGCGTAGCCCTCCTCGACCATGATTTGATGTCCAATGCCGCGTCCAGCAGGGTAGAAGACGACGTCTTGCTTCTTAGCAAATTCCTCAATCTGACTGTATTTCTTCAGGTTCTTCTCTGTCTTGTTTTGTACATCATGGTCAAGCGTCATTACGATTTGCTTGGGGTCATTGATCTTGGTGGCGCCAATACCCATGAACTTGAGAGCCACGGGCCATGAATTGTCATGTGTCATGCATTTGTGCGGTTGCAAAGTCACATAGTCGCCCGATCGCAATATTTTGCCCTGCGCAACACCTACTGCGTGTCGCTGCACAATCTTCTCGGTGAGAGTCTGTGGTATTTTCGGCGTCTCGTTGAGGGACGAAAGGAAGCTCGCAGCAGGGCTCTCCTTCATTGAAGGAAAAACATCCTGTGCATCACGTCGGACCGTCGTGGTGACAAAGGTTCGTGGAGTCAGATATGTGCGAGGCGACTGCGATACGGCGGCGCGAAATACTAAGCTCGCTCGAGGAGCCTACATGTGATGTTAGACGTCATTGCAGAAGCCCAAGCCTTTGCACATACTGCTATCTGCCTGCGACCCAGGAGCCGGGCTGCCCTGAGCGACATTGCCATGATTGCTTGTGCTTAAATGGCAACGTTGGGTTTGCACGTAAGATGGGCCTTCCCCAGAATTCCGGCCAAAATTGTCTCGCACCGACACCGGCCGGCGTCATCGGATCTGCTGCACTTGCCATTGGACGACTACCGGGCGCGCTCAATTGCTTCACCTAATACATACTACACCCACGCGGGTGATACTGCAAGAGCGATGGCTGCTATGTTTCCGGTGCAATGAGAACATAAGCGTCACGCAGCAAATTTCAGATTGCATGCTAGCCCGAGATCGGATATACGGTTGAAGAGAGGCTGACTTTGGAGTCATTCGTATGACGCGACCTGAGTAGACTTGCACCATACATATCGCCCCTCTTTGCTCACTTTCTCTCCAACATCTTTCATTGCTACCTATACCTCTGTACTACTAATCTCCAAGACCTGTTAATTTCATCATGGTCAATCGCTCAGACGTCAACTACTTTGGGGCTGGCCCCGCACCCCTCCCCACCGAGGTGCTCGAGAGGGCCTCACAGGCGTTGCTGAACTACAAAGACAAGGGCATTGGCCTTTGCGAAATCTCTCATCGCTCTCCCGAAGCCAATGAGATTCTGGATGACACCAAGAAGGCGCTCAGCCATCTGCTGGAGATTCCTGGTGACTACGAAATCCTCTTCCTGCAGAGCGGCGGTAGCGGCGAGTTCAGTGCCACCGTTTACAATCTCGTCTCGATATGGGTAGAGAAGAAGCGCGCACAAATTGCCAAAGAGGTGGGCGACGACAAGGACGAGGTACTGAAGAGGCTTCGCAAGGTCGTGGACGAGGAGCTCAAAATCGACTACCTGGTTACCGGCTCATGGTCACTCAAGGCTTCGCAGGAGGCTGCACGGCTCGTGGGAGCGAAACACGTCAATGTAGCCACCGACTCGCGCAAGATCAACGACGGCAAATTTGGCAAGATTGCTCCAGAAAGCGAGTGGAATCTGACACCTCGCACCAACGGGGGCCCTGCCTTCGTCTACTACTGCGACAACGAAACTGTAGATGGTGTCGAGTTCCCGTCTTTCCCACAAAGCCTCGAGGGTGAAGACGCGCCACTGGTCTGTGCCGACATGTCGTCCAACTTCATTTCCCGCAAAATCGACGTGAGCAAGTATGCAATCATCTTTGGCGGTGCCCAGAAGAACATTGGCAACACTGGAATTGCTATCGTCATCATGCGGAAGTCGCTCCTTCCGCCACATTCTACCCCTGCCTCGCCTGATCTGCTGAGAGAGCTGAACTTGGCAGTCGGCCCCATTGTGCTCGACTACCCTACTATCGCCAAAAACAACTCATTATATAATACTTTGCCGATATTTGACGTTTGGGTCGCTGGCCAAGTCATGTCTGGGCTCGTCAACTCGTATGGCGCCAAGCGCATAGGTGGTCAGGAAGAAGTCTCCAACGAAAAGGCTCGGCTCATCTACGATACGCTGGAGAAGTACCCGGACGTCTATCGGGTCGTTCCAGACAAGTCCGCCCGCAGCAGAATGAACATTTGTTTTCGAGTCCACGGTGGGGATACAGACAAAGAGAAAGCGTTCCTTGTGGGCGCGGAGAAGAAGGGCCTATTGGGTCTGAAGGGCCACCGAAGCGTAGGTGGTATTCGCGCTAGCAACTGTAAGCTCTCACAATTCCATCTTGTTCATCCTGTCATCTGTCATGCGTCGAGGCTGGATCGAGAGCCTTACGGGGGCATGCTCGCCTGTACTCATATACTAGCGCAGGCGGGTCGATGTACTTGGACCAGCATTTGGCCTAGCGAAGGGTCACCCGGACATCCAAGGCTAACGTTCTTTGTGCCCCAGATAATGCGGTCTCGCTCGATGGCGCAAAGCTGCTTGTTTCGTATCTTGACGAGTACGCAACATCGACGTAAGTGTCACTGCAAGAAAGCGCTTCAAGTCACATCGCGGGCAGGCTGTATCGCTCCCATCCAAAAGAAAGGATTCTTGACCTACCTGGATCGTCCAATACAATGCCATAACACTATAGAATACAAATTCAATCCATGCTTTCTTGATGATTCTACTTTTCCCCGGTGCCGCACCCCCAAATGGCCTGCAGTTACTTGCAGTCACCTAATCTGCTGCTGGCATTAGCGGAAAATAGTCTGAGGCATGCTTTCTTTTGATAATCCATGTCATGTACGCGTGGATGGTGGAAACGAAAATGGTTAGGAAGTGCCTTGATATTCTCGAAACTTAATCAATGGCATAAGACGCTCGTTGGACATCGTGCATTACCACTTACAGTAAGTCTATCAGATCAGTTTCGACTTCATTGCTTCACGAGATCATATCACGAGTAAGCGACGTATCGAGGAGTCATTTCCTATGATGATTAGAGGATTGCAATGTAACCGCTCCAAGGCTTTTGGCGGCTGCGAGATGGCCTATCACTCTGGTCTTTGCATGTATGATCGTCGCAAGACGCTACGTGCGAACGTATTTTGCCAACACCTGGGCACACTACTTAACCGTGTGCCGTCGGCGCCAACAACTTGCCCATCACTAAGCGAACCTTGGGTCTAGAAGGTCGGGCAGATCAGCCGTGGCGGAAGTCAGGATAGCAATATCGATAGGCAATCCGATCTGCTGGAACGGGAGGCTCCCGGATTGTACTCGGACAGTTCTCTCTATCCTGCAATCTCACAGTCTTTCGACTCTCTTCTACAAGTCCGGCATGACAAGTCATGTCCAGCGCTACGCCTAGTGTGGCTGCGGCTCGTGGGGTTACCCATCGTCTGCCGCTGCCATAATATATTGCTTTATAGGTTTGACTAGCCAGACTCGCTGCGCCTTGTGTCATGCGGCTACAGGCCCTTCGAGGCAACGGTTGTGGTGACCGGGGTTCTGGCGTTCACAGTGTCTCGGACAGGGCTGAAGCGAGGATCTGCGGCACAGTCTAAACCCAGCAAGCATCAGAACTCTAGTCTGACCACCTCGACCTCACGACCAACGACTCTGTGCCAACCGTCTACACCAGCGCTTCCACGCTTCACGACTTGATGGTAGGCCAAGTATAGAAACATGCGTGAAGAGATCGTGCCGCTCTGAACAAAACAACGAATGTCGACGGAAGATGCTGGCGCCGCGGACGAGGACGGCCGGTAGCATCTCATACGCACGCTGCGGGAGCGGCGACCGCACCACGGCAATTCTAGGCAATGACGTCTTGGGCAACCTGGTCAAGACAATGGCAATAGCCAGAACGTGACCAGTTGCTCAGCCGCTCGTCCATGGTAGCCGGTCAGGGCAGGGCGTCACCATGTCTGTACGGATCTCCAGGCTCCGCTGCCCGGGCTACCCAGCATGCGTGTGGCTCGCATGAGGTTGAAACCCCACTTTCTTCCACTGCTGGGGGAATCGACCCGTAATATGGACAGACTGGAAGCATGCCAATGCGTAGCCCTCTCAGCGAATGACCGGACAGACGCCTCAGGACCGCTGTTCCGAAACCATGTGCTGCTGGTTACCGCCCGCTGGTTTTGTCATATACCGTTTGGAGTCTCATACCTGTCTCCGTCTCCTACGTCTAATGCCCACGCTCTTTTTTCCCCTTCTTTTGTTATTGCTCTGCTGGCAGGCTTAGGTAGATTTCTTCCTTGACGCTGAGCTGGCTTACTCCTTCGTTTACGACGTCAATCAAACAGTCTCCATGAATACCTAGTCGATTTTCTTTCTTCAGCCGCTGCTGGTTACCAGCGAGACAATTACTTCCCTTCTTCACCTCTTGTAACCGGAGTTGGCACAATGGAATCATGGGCCACTCACTTTCCGCAGCTCGATGCCCGATCGCACTTTAACTTGACCCTCAATGCTTCCGCGGCTCGAAATGGTCCCTGGATGCAGTCGAATGCGACCAGGACCCTCATCGCCAGTCTACAACTCCAACAAGTCCAAACACTCCGGTCTACGCATCTCACCCTCGGAGCATTTAGCCTTGCTTTGACGTTGCTGACGGTCCATCGCATTGTTTCTGACGCGCGTCGAGCTGCAGCACTGCAGGTCTTGCCCAAGAAGAAGTAAGCTCAATATGAAAGAGGAGTTGTACATGGCTAATACATGAAAGAAGGTTCAACGCTCTTCACAATGTTCACCCTGCCGAGACCTTTCCGCTTGCCCTGGCCTGCGGTGCCGTTCTACAACAGGTCATCTTCGTATCAGTGCAGAGCACTACCCTTAATAGTGTATTTTCTAGAAGTTGTCGTGGGCTTTCCATGATTACTTTTCCCGGTATGTGCAGTTGGACTGGTATTTTTTGGCGGAGAGGCTGACCATTACAGCTATATTCCTGGTCGGATACATCACGCTGGTTTTTGGTATCGAAGTAGTCGTCAGGGCCTTCAAGCGCGAACGTTTTGCCCCCCGTGGCAAGTGGAACACGACAATCTGTATTGCTGTGGTGTCGTTTATGCTTTTACTTACCTGGATGCCGACTGTCGCATGGCCAATGTCCAATACTTGCTTCGGCAGTCTCATCTGGTTTCCTATGCGTTACGACTTTCTGATGATGATCATACTTGCTGTCATGGTCTTTTGCTTATTGGCAGTCGCCGCTCTCATCAGTATCCAGCTCATGAGAACTCCCGGCTTGGACCCCAACGAGCGTATTTCGGCTTCACGTATGACCTACTTCTTGTTAGTAGCTGCATTGATCTATGTGAGTGCGGCACTCTTTTCCAACTTCACATCTAACAATCCTAGGCTCTCGTCCTCCCTGTCGAGATCCAGTCTCTTCAACGGGACTTTATGCAAGCGCTAGCCGCCTCTCGCATTGCCGAAATCTCGCTCTTCTCCTCGGGCATGGTCATCACCTTCTTCCACCTCTTCCTACGAACAAACGCAACGCGAATGGTCATTCGTCCCATCGATGAGATCAACTCCACCCCAAACCAAAAACGCCCAAAGCTTCGATTCTTCGGCCCTAGTGACTTGGAGATGCAAATCAGCGCACCAATGGATCTGCAAACAACTCGCCGCTTGGACAGCCGACAGGGTCTGATTGATGTTGGACCCGAGAAGAACCGTACAGACTTCGATCCCGAATACTTTGAACGACCCAAGCGTGCTTTGTCGCCAGCATCCACCAAGCCCGGCACCCCAATCGACCCTACACAATGGCCACTGCCCCCTATGAAAGACACTGACGCCAAATTATCTGGCCACGCACGCAAGGAGAGCTACTCTCTCTTTCCCACACGAGCTGAAGAAGTACCTCGCCTTCCTCCTACCGTCTACGACCCGAAGGCTGCGCAAGAAACCACCTCAGTATCCAAGCTCGCTATGCGACGCTTCACTCGACGGGGCTCAGTCACATCAGTTACCAATGTTAGCGACGCGTTCGACTTCCTGACCAAGCCAAAGCTACCCTTTGCCTCTGGACACTCACGTATGCAAAGCACCGATAGCAGCGCGACTGTTCAGATTGGTCTTCGTTTCTCAATAGCACCCGCCACGCTTGGTACAGGCAAGTACAATGGTAATGAGCGCCCGCAGCCACCAAAGCGGGGTAATACCGACGATAGTGATACATCGCTAGAGCTTCCAATCCAGGGACCTCCAGCAGAGACATCGTCATTAGAGACGCTCAGCCCCGGCACATATGTCCCACCATCTCCCGTAACCCGACCAAGGGCCAACAGCCCCAATCGGACCCCAGCATTCCCTCTCGTACCAGTCGTCAACAGCAGTGAGTACCTCAAGGCTCAACGTGAGAAGGTACTACCCGCCCCACCACCATCCGCAGAAGCGCCAGTGCCGGCTCCACAAGCCGTTACCCCAACACAGGCCGCTATGCCCTCCCCTGCGATGTTATCGCCAGCTATTCCCAAGCCAGCTTGCATCAGCGGACTCCGGATGAACCCAGTCTCTCCCGTCACCGCAGTCGCCTCTCCCAAGACAGCGTCCCAACCCGCTACACCATCGTCGTCAACCAACAGCCTCGCACGATCAAACAGCGGAGGCCACGCAGCACCATCACCGACAGCACGGATACCCCTAGGTGCAGGCACGATGTCGCGGAGTCCGCCACCCAACGGCTGGATCTGAGCGTTTCGCCTGACTGAGGCGCCACGCATGAAACACCAGACCACGTGCTTTGTCCTATTCTACTTCTAGACCGGAATTGGCGAGAGCCGCTGTTACTACTATGTACGATTTAAACTGGGATTGAGAGGCAGGAAATTAGGACCCAGGGTATGGGTTACAAATGTCATGTTGGTCGGTTCGGTGTCTGGGCAAATACCCACAAAGGCGTTACGGTTCGGTTTCATCTTCCTTGAGGGCAGTATTATCCTGCGACGCGAGTGCACAGACCACGTCGACTTGTTCCCAAACTACCTACCCCGACCCGGGTCCTGTCGGTCTTGTCTACTTTTTACTTGGCATTATCCCGGGCTTGCCTGCGAATGACGGCATCGGTGGTTTGTTATGGGAACTTTTTGACTCTTGTCTATCTGCCTGTCTCTGTCCTCTCTGTTCATGCCCTCTGTAACGTCGCTTACGACTACGATCATTTTCTTTATCATTCACGAAGCTTTTGGTGCTGCGCACTATATCCTCCAAAAACGCGCCCCGGATTGGCTCAGCAACAACGAACATCTCACTCTTTATACCCATCCCCCCCCTCTCTCCTCCTCACCAAGCACACACATATACACATACACTTTTCTACCTTGTCTCTCGCCACAAATCTTCGCTTTTCTTCTTCTTCAGTCTCATTTTTTTTCACGGCTCGCACAATCGAGCCTGTTAATTATCTCTGTATCTCTCTATCTGTGGGAGGAAGCCAGTGTGGGATGCTGTGTAGGTAGGCCCCCACCTCTTTGTATGTGTATAGCCTGTTGTCCATCACCTCGTCATCCTCATTTTTATTTAGAAATAGCATAACTATAGCAAGAGCCTCTTTCTTTCTATATCTCTCTTTCTCTCCTCTTCGTTCCGAAAGAATGGGGCTCAAAGACCAGAATAACGTAAAGGATATAAAACTAAAAACAAAACCCGGTGATCCGATCCTGCGTGTTTCGTTGCTTGGTGCTCGTTGTGATTACTGCAAAAGGGATGTGTGGCTGTTGGTGGAGTGATGTATTCTATGACTCAGTCATTGACACCATCGGTTCATGACTTGTGATGGTCAATGCCGGTTGTCAGAAAGAAAGCAGGATGAAGTTATTACTAACAATTTACTTTCCTTTTTCCTTCATTTCTGCACTACCCGCTTCTAGACCTCAAAATAAGCAAAACAGTCTTTTACTCCGAGTACCGCCTCACCCACGTTCCTTTCCTTTCCTTTCTCTTTCCCACCCGCAGCATGATCGCCATGCATCTCGGAGCATAAAACTCCACCACCACCCTAATCCAGCCTCAGCCTCCCGTCCACCACCACCACTTTCTCCTCCTCCTACGACACACACACAGCCACAATCCCCGCAACCTTCCAAACCAGTTCCTGCACAGCCTTACCTTTCCCCCCTAGCACCCCCAGCCGCCCCCCTGCCCTCCAAAAGATTCATGCGTTACACCCCCCTCCCCACCAACCCTTGCAAACCAAACACCTGCTCGAATCAGGGCTCGGCACTTCCATGTAACACTTTACTAGGATACATGCCTGTTTTGCGCGGTTTGTCATGTTGGCGAGACATGGCGCTAAAAGAGCACAAGGGAAAAGAAGGGTGATGGCTATGGTGGTGCTTCGAGAACGATACTAGGGTCCGTCGCGGGACCGGGGGAGGGGTGGTTATGAGTGGGTTGGAGAGTAAAGCCGATTGTGGCAATGTGTTGTAGATGCTGATTGTGTGCATTGGTGCGACGGCGATTCCGATGACCGATTGCCATTGCTGGACTGACAGCTACGATACGATTCAGTTGCATGCGCGGCATCGGCGACAGCGGGGCGGGTGTGCGGGCGTGGAAACGATGGCATGTGCATGTGACACCTGTGTTGGGTCTGTGTTCGTTTCTTCATGGTCGTTGTGCTACAAGTGTATATGTATCTTTGATTTTCAAAACATGCTTTCTTTCGTTGTTTGTTTGATTTTGCTGGCTACGGAGAGTGTGCTTCTCATGATCTTCTCCATCGTTGCCAGAATTTCCAGCCTACTTTCTCGTTTGTTTCGTCGGGCATGCGGAATTTATTCCTTTCTTGACCTCGACGACGGCCTACCCATGCAAACCAGATTACTAGGCCTACAACCATGAATGCGACGACGAGGAGCGTTTGGAGTGGCTCGGCGAAGACGGCTCGAGAGAGTAGGAATAAGCTGACGCAGCAGAAAATGATGGGTGTGGTGATCCAGGTCTTGTATGGCCTTTCTAGATCTGGTTCGCGGACTCGTAGGATAATGAGGCCGAGCACAGTTTGGAAGTAGAAGGCGTATCCAGCGACGCCGTAAAAGGTAACGAGTGTATCGAAAGATCCGACCACAATGTAGACGGCCGTGAGTGTGGCATTGAGTACCATGGCGGATATGGGTGTAAAGAAGAAGCCCGCATCTTCATCTGCAAACCAGCTTACTAGCTTACTAGATATCTTGCTCTTTCCTTGGTTTGCATTCATACTGTGCAACCGTATGGCACGATGATTCTTTCCAAGCCCAATGTTTCCGAATAACGAGGGCAGATAGCCTTCTTTTCCTGCTGCGTACACAAGGCGACCAGAAGTGAAGGTAGTTGCATTCAGCGCACCGAAACATGATCCCGACACAAACAGGGCGAGTATAAGGGAGCCAACAGGCCCGAAGACCTGCGATCCAAAGGCCACAGCAACAGTATTCGACGACTCGATGATGGATGTGGGAAGCACGAGGAAGTATGATACGTTTGCTAGAAGGTAGCAGAGTATGACGAGCGGCAGGGACGTGTGAATTACGCGGGGTAGGTCGCGGGTAGGGTTCTTGAACTCGGCGGTGACATAGTTGACCTGTATATGTCAGTGATGATCAACGGCCTGCAAGATGATTTTGGCGTACATTGTCCCAGCCATCAAACGCCCATAGGCCAGCATACAGCGCCACCGCCCAGTTGCTGACGTTCTCGCTGGTGCCGTCGAACCAGCCGCGGTCTTTCCAGTCTTTATTCGCATCGCCCTTGTATGAAAAACCAGTGGCGGCGACGACGATACCGATTACTGTTACTCCCAGCAATGCGAAGAACTTGAGAAACATGAAGATATCAGCGCTCCTCGTGCCCAGCTTTGTGGATACGCAGTTGAGGAGGGTGACAAAGACGAGTCCCACCAAAGCCACGCTCTTGTTCAACCACGTACTCGCATCCACAGCCTCGGCCCCGATTATCGCGCGCACCAAATATTCTCCAAAAATGATTGCTATGATGGCTGCCGAGCCCGGCTTGAGCACCATGACTGCACACCATGTGAACAAGAAACCTGCCCACTCTCCAAATATCTTGGACAAATAGACCTGAGCACCGCCGTTCAGCGGTATGGCTCCTCCGAGCTCCGCATAGCTTGCAGCACCTGTCCAGGCCAGGATACCAGCTACCACCCAGACCAGCAGTGACGCGCCAGGCGAGCCAGCATTCTTGTTGACTTGCGACGGCGAAGAGAAGATGCCACTTCCTATGATAAGTCCAATGACTAGCGATAACCCATTGAGATATGTTAAACTCTTGTTCCTCTCCAATGAGCCGCCATTAAGCGCATTCGATGGGTCCAAAGCTGGATTCGATGGCGCGCCCAAAGCTGTGTATCCTTGTGCTGTGCTAGAGAGCGGGAATAGGTTAGGCGCAAAGTCAAAGGCGGACGTCACGCTATACGAGCGATTGTGCTTATGCCGTGGTCTATTCGCATCATGGCCGGCTGGATTCAACTCAGACAAGGGGTCTTCGTCGTCAAAAGACAGTCGGCGCGAAGATGGCGCGCCTGAGGAAGAAGATTCCTCCGAAGTCCGTCGCGACGGATGCGACGACGAGGCCAGCGAGGCGAGTTCGAGCGAGTCGCGGGTCGGCGGCGGTGGCAGGTTGGAGTAGCGACCGGCCATGGTTGGGAGGGGGACTGAGGGGTGACTGCGCAGCGCTACCGGACAGCCATGTGAAGTATATATGAGATTAGGATGTCTTAGTTTATAGGGGTAGGATCCAGCACCCTTTCCCTAACATTCGAGGCTGCTGTAAGTAAGTGAATGGTGAAGCTTGCCTGCACTCGTTGAAACAGACGGCTCCTATGCCGTCATGGGACTAGCTCCCGGATTGGCGCTAGGCCTTCACTCCAAAAATTGTAGGAGCATTTCACCACTGGAGCCTTGGCGTCGTCTAGTCGCAAATCCCCCATAGCATGGATACGGCAAGGCTACGACATGCGCATACGACCAGGTGATGCGAGGTCTCAGTCTGCACTCGCTGGGCGGGCGGCGCGCCCTTCGTCACCCTGCCCTGTCTACGCGAATAGCTTCACAATGGGCCAGGAACCTCAGCAGGAAGAAGAAATTTGAGGAAGTGCCATTGCCGTCGCTCACTTCGAAATGGCAATCAATCTGGGATCGACCGTCTTCAGAGTCGGAAAAACTGCGTCAAGCAGAGCGAGGAAACGCATACGTCTTGCCCATGTTCCCGTATCCCTCGGGGACGCTCCACCTAGGCCACTTGCGAGTATACACCATATCCGATGTTCTGGCGCGCTTCAAGCACATGCAAGGCTACAAGGTCTTACACCCCATCGGATGGGATGCCTTTGGTTTGCCGGCTGAAAATGCCGCCATCGAGCGAGGTGTGCATCCAGAAAAGTGGACGCTACAGAACATCGAAGCCATGAAAGCACAGATGAAGGAAATGGGAGGTCGCTGGGACTGGGATGCTGTACGTGGCGCGTGCAAAAAGGAAGTACAAAAGCTCATGTGTATATAGGAAATACGAACATGCGACCCCGACTTCTACAAGCACACACAGCGCATCTTTCTCATGCTCCATCAACACGGCCTGGCCTACCAAGCCGAGTCGCTAGTCAACTACGATCCCATCGACCAAACCGTTCTCGCAAATGAACAAGTAGATGCCAATGGCTGCTCCTGGCGCTCTGGGTCAAAGGTCGAGAAGGTCATGTTGAAGCAATGGTTCTTGAAGATCAAGGAGTTCCAAGAGCCTCTGCTGAAAGATCTGGACGCTTTGGCTAGAGACGGCAGGTGGCCTGAGAAGGTACTTTCTATGCAGAGGAACTGGATCGGCAAATCCGAAGGCGCAAAGCTCTCGTTTGACTTTGTCTCGATGGATAGCTCCATGCGCTTTGAGCCTGTCCATGTCTTCACTACCAGACCAGATACCTTGTTTGGAGTGCAGTATATTGCTCTTTCGCTGCGTCATCCTGTTGTTCAACAGCTGGCCATCGAAGACGAGTCGCTACGCGCCTTCATGGACCGAGCAAAGGAATTGCCGCCAGATGCCAAAGAGGGTTTCCTACTTAAGAACATCGTAGCGAGAAACCCACTTGCCCATGTTGGGGGCACGACGGGACCTTCTATCCCTGTCTATGTGGCTCCATATGTCCTAGATGACTACGGCTCTGGTGCCGTTATGGGTGTGCCAGGCCATGACACACGAGACCACGATTTTTGGCGAACGAACCGGGGCGACGAGCCAGTTCGGGTTGTCATTGCTGCTCAACAGGATACTCTGCCATGGCCGCTCATACCAGGTAGCGGGGAAGACGTACCTATGACCGAGAAAGGTTTCGTCGTTGCTGATATTGAGGGCTTTGGTAACATGACATCAAAGCAAGCCGCAGATAGGGTCGTGCAGGCGATCGTTGATTCTGGAAGACACGCTGAGAGGACAGCAACCTGGCGTCTTCGAGACTGGTTGATCAGTCGGCAGCGTTATTGGGGCACGCCCATCCCCATCATCCATTGTGGGTCTTGTGGTGCCGTTCCAGTCCCCGAGAAAGACCTTCCAGTCAGATTACCGGACCTTCCAGACAGCTTCTTCGGGGGACGCAAGGGGAATCCGTTAGCGGAAGACGAGAACTGGAAGAAGACTACTTGTCCCAAGTGCGGCTCTGCTGCCGAGCGCGAGACCGATACCATGGATACTTTCATGGACTCATCCTGGTACTTCTTCAGGTTTTTAGATCCTAAAAACAAAGATGCCTTGGTCGACCCGGTCAAGACAAACAACGGCATGCCTGTAGACCTCTATGTCGGCGGTGTGGAACACGCCATTCTGCACCTTTTGTACGCCCGCTTCATCTCAAAGTTTCTCGCAACAACGCCTACATGGCCGAAGGGCTACCTGACTAGCGGTGAACCTTTTACGCGCCTCATAGCTCAAGGAATGGTTCATGGAGAGACTTTTACCGATCCAGAAAGTGGACGCTTCCTTCGTCCGGATGAGGTGAACTTGTCGAACCCTTCAAAGCCCCTCATCAAGGCGACGGGTAGCACTCCAAATGTCAGCTACGAGAAAATGTCTAAGAGCAAGTACAACGGCATAGATCCTGGCACTACAATCGCCAAGTATGGAGCCGACGCAACACGCGCCCACATGCTATTCCAAGCACCCGTAGGAGATGTGCTAGAGTGGGATGAGAAGAAGATCACTGGTGTTGAACGGTGGCTCAACCGGGTGATAAGGCTATCGGATGCTTTTTGGTTGCCTGATGTTGAGGCAAAGAGATTCACCATACCTACACAGGTTGATGCAACGATTCTTGAGATAATACAGACACTCTTTCCGAAGGAGAGTGCCACTCACCATACTCGCGAGCAACTCATTTCTCTGCTCAAGCCAGATGAAGCAAAGCTCTGGATAAAAACTCAGCAAATCATCGCGAGTGTCACCGAATCGTACTCGCAGACGTACTCGCTCAACACCATCGTCAGCGATCTGATGACGTTGACAAACGCTGTCTGGGACACTCCACACGTTTCTGGGAAAACCCCAACCTTTAAATGGTACTCGGTGGCTCACCTTGTCCGTATGCTCGCTCCAATCGCTCCTGGTGTCGCTGAGGAAGCGTGGTACAGACTCCATATGTTTGTCGATTGGGCCAAGCTACCCGAAGATCATCCAACCGTTTTCACAGCAGGCTTCCCCACTCCAGATGTCAAGATCATACCCCTTCTCTCATCGACTCAAACATGTGTAGTCCAGATCGACGGGAAACGTAGGTTTGATGTCGAAATTCCAAAGTTTCCTCTTGGATGGGACCACAGGGACTACTCATCTTCAGTCAACTATGTTCTAAAGCAGTTGGCGAAGACTGAAGTAGGAAAAGAATGGCTCGATAAAGAGGACGGGAAGCTCTTCAAAATTGCCGAAACGACTGAGGTGGACGAGAACTTCAGGATGCTACCCAAGGGATGGTCGGCTATTGTCATTAAACATGGCAAACTGTGCAACTTAGTGAGCAAGAGAATGCCTAAACGGGATAGCGAGCGTCCTGTGATTAGCCGGGACGCTGTTGAGGTCGCTCGTCAAGAGGTTGGTGAGTTCACATTACATCCGTATGTATTCAAAGAGAAGAAAAGATAGCTGTATTATTACTTTTGTACATTACCTGAACTCTCTGTAGATAATGTTGTGTGCTTGTATTATCAAAGTTTAAATGAACAATAAGACGATAGCAAAACTTCGGCATTCGTAGTCGCGTATAAGGAAGTCCATGTCCGAATTTCGAGCTCCGCTAGTCGTTATCTCCGACCTGTCATCTTCGTCATGCATCGCGGAACTCATTCCGAACCCGATACAAATTCCCCGAACGCGCCCACGTTTCTTTCGCAAGCTTTGCAACAATGCTGCTTACTCGACTGCCCCGGGCGTCCCTGTCACACTCTCTCCGCTCTTCCCTCACTCCAGGTGTGCGATTGCAATCAACAATTCCATACACATCAACATGTCCCTCACCGAAATGCGAATGCGCTGTTTCGCCCCCAGACCTAGACATCGATCGCAAGACACCATTAATAAATACAATGGCTACATATTCCGAGCAGATAGTTTTCTGCACAGGTAAAGAAGATTGGGTCAGCAACATAGAGCAAGAGGAGGGCGAGACGGGTGACTTCGTCAAAGGGCTGAAAGGTGTGATTGGAAAAGGAAGCCCTGCATTCGACGTAGGTGCGTTTCACAATTACTTCCATACTAGGAGTCGCTAACAGGCCGTGTTTGTGCCAGCCATTCACAAACGTCCTCATCACCGCATCCTCGTTACCGAAGAGTGAACAGCCTGATGCAACGACAGCACTACTCTTTCCGAGTTTCAAACGCATACCGAACATCCCGCATCAACCTCAGGCCTTTTCCAGTTTTGCGACTGCATATCTCAAGGCGAGAAGTCTGCATCTGATGCATGATGGCTTGTCCACTGAGCAGAAGGCTGCTTTGTTACGCGACGAGTCCAAGGCTAGCGAGTTGCCACAGGCTGAAGATATTTCAAAGCCTACCGTCCTCATCTGCGGACATGGCGGCCGCGACCAGCGTTGTGGTATACTAGGACCGCTCCTACAATCTTCTTTCCGCCGCGAATTCGAGCGCAGAGACATAGAAGCAGATGTAGGGTTAATAAGTCACATTGGTGGGCACAAATATGCTGGAAACGTCATCATGTATCTCCCTACAAACATGCAGGGCAATGCGCTCAAAGGATCAGGGATATGGTATGGACGTGTTGGGCCAGAGAATGTCGAAGGTGTCGTTGAGGAAACGCTGGTTGGAGGACGTGTCATCACTGAGTTGCTGAGAGGCGGCGTGATGCAGGGTGGGGGAAATATTGGAAGGATTGTTGAGGCGCAGTTGAAGAGGGAGAGTGGGGAGGAGGGGCATGAGGGGTTGAGGCTTAAGGCGAGGGCGAGGGGGTAATTAGAGCTGGTAGATGACGAAAACACATAGTTGGTTGATAGATGATCTATGGATAGTCTAGTGTACTACCTAGGTAAGGTAGTATACCGATACGTACGCTAAATTAGTGCGCTAATGCTCCAGACATCAAAACCCAACCCCCTCACGAGAACCGTCCCTTCTCTTATCAACACGTCAAGAAAAGAGAATTTGTACCCAGATACTTCTACCTCTTAACATCTTTCGCCTCTATATTTCACACCCAGACCAAGTTCCCTCAGCTCCACACATACGATGTCTCCACGGAACACCCAAGTCACGTTCCGTTTCAGACCTGCGGGCAATGAGAAGCTCGATCCCTGGGAATTCAAGCGTGAGATGCCAACCGCTGTCGTCAGAGGGCCCATGCAAACCGCGGGCCAAATGGCAGTTGGCATTATTCGCGAACAAACCGCGGATGCAGCATCAAGAGCAGGATCGACATGCAGCGAGTGTTCCAAACCCTCTACGACTGTTTCAATGTCATCCATGTTCTATCTGCATCTTCCAGAGCCTATGGTAATGGTCTTGGTGCATCCGGTTTGCCCGAACGCAATGTGTCATCAAGCGGTTCAGCAGATGATGGCGGAGCTTATGGCTGGTGGGTAGGAGATAAGGGGTATGCAGGGATATCAGGGAAGTCAGGGCTAGGGCAAGGGGGTATTGCATGTGGTTGAGCATAAAGAGGACTACAGTACATTAGCGAGTACATCGAGAGTCTATACGCGATTGAGCCGAACTCACTTTTACGCTGATTGGGTGGCGCTAATACATACACGGGTACGGGCACATCTAGGTAACATTGAAATACCCTTTGCTTGCGTTATGCGGTTCTGCTTTCGTCAACGTACATGAGGCAGGCAGGCAAAATGCATACGTATGATGTCAAAATCATTCCACCCTTTCAATCCTTTCGTCTGTGCCACATGTGTTCAAAGCAAGTTCACCCTCTCCAGCACACCTTCATCTTTCCAACACCAGACGTATTCACGAACACTTACAACCTAACCATTATCAAAATTACACCAGTAGCCCTCAATGGCACCTCGAAAATCAAGCGCCAGGAAGCGAAAATTCCAAAGCGCCAGACACGAACAACCACCCCAACAAAGAGCAACAGTTAAATTCCGCTTCGCCGACTGGAGCACCCTGGACCGACCGACCTGGGAAGTCAAACATGAGGTGCCCGTCGAAATCGTCACAGCCTACCCAGACGATTCAAGCGAGTATCTGGGTCATATTATCCGACAGTACCGACCAGCAGTATTCGCCAAAGCAAAACCGGAATGCATCCACTGCCACCGACCTTTCACGACGCTTCACATGTCACCGGCATCTTTCCTAGGCCACGAAGACTGTTTTGTGTACACGATGGTGCATCCCATGTGCGAGAAAACGGAATGCCATGTGGCTGTCGACCACGTCATGGAGACTATCAAGGCAGAGGCGGATTTGCATATTTATGGGCAGATGTCTGCTCGGCCAGAGGGTACGCAGCCTATGAATGGTGCTTTTGGGGCGGAGGCATCGTCTTCTCAGTCAAGGTCTGGTAAGTTGACTTTTAATAGAGTCGGGGGTGGCGTGTTGTTGGTTACATCGGCTTATTTTAATATGTGGTAGTGGATTGTGTTGGGAATCGAACCTGCGGTAGATAAGGCAGCTGGTTGCTGCATGCACGAGCTTGGATTACACGGCTGACTAAGCCGTGTGGTCCGAGCTCTAGCTGCTGCCTTACTGCCGACCTCCCTCCACCTCCATAGAAACAACAAGAACAATCACAATCATTTCAACTCGTTGCAACGAAGGTGATTCCGATACCTTAGCCGTATCAACAGATTGATATAGGGTATGAGGCTCGCGGCGGACGGTTCTTCCGATGTGATTGTTAGGTATGTTTGGTGTGTTTGTGAAGGAATGGCTTGGGTTGTTGAGAGGATGGTACACATATGGAATTTGGGTTTAGGCGTTGGACTATGGAAAAAGTGAGGAACACGACTAGGATTTTCCTTGTTAGTGTCCTTGAGGATAGAGATAGCGTACTTGTGATCAGCTTAAGCCACTTCCTGTGGTGACGATAGTGCTCTTCAGAATAAACCTCATTAAAAGCAGATGACGTCATGAGCATCCTTGTTTCATGTGGCTACAACTTCCGAATCAAATGCATGGAGAGGAATTTATGCTAGCGGTGTGGAATGGAATGGTTAGAGTGTCCTAAGAAGCAACCTCACTAACAAAGCTTTCAATCACCAACATCCTCAATCCATCTCGAAACCCAATATCACATAACCCAACATGGCGACACGTAAAGTAAACGTCGAATTCTGTCCCATGAGCGCCAAAGGCATTGAAGAATGGAAAACCACAACCGAACTACCCGAGGACTTATTCGGACCCTTGAGCCTGCAAGAAACACCCGCCCACAGAGCGCGCCTCATCCCAGCAGTCCAATCAATGCTATCGGCCTACCAAAATGAGTGCAACGCGAAGATCGAGGCTTCAAATTCGACATGCGTGAGCTGCAATGCCAAAGCTGCTGCCGCATTGTTCAGGGCCCTATCGCACCTGCATCTGACGGCAGAAGAGGAGGGCAAGGATGGCCCACGCATCCGCACCTACGTGATTCCGCTTTGCAAGAAGCCCGATTGTCGCCGCATAGCTACGGCCGGCAATGAGCGTATTATGGACCGCACTCTTGCACAGCAGATGACACAGATGACGCTGGGGAAACAGTGTCCATGTGGTATTTGTGTGGGGACCAAGGCGTGCCAAATGTAGAGTTGCTTCGTACTGCGGGAGAGAGCATCAGAGACGGGATTACAAGGAGCATAAGAAGATATGTGATGCATTGCAAAATATGAGGAAGATGACCGAGGGTCAGCAAATGTGGTTCAGAGAGAGTGAAGAAGCAGCAGCAGCTTCTTCTTCTTCATCAACCACAAAGCCGAAGCCATCACCCAATCAATCAACCCCTCCGAAGACACCTACATCCTCTGACTCTAACCGCAAAGTCCGCATCCACTGCGCCCCCATCAGCAACCAAGCACCAGCCTGGGACACCACCGCCAACGTCCCCGCCTCCCTAATCGGCCAATTCACCCAACCCCCAGCCCCCACCTACCAAGCCACATTCGACGCCACCGTGAAAAACATCTGTAAAACTCTCCAACCAGACTTCAACACCAGATCTGGCCCCATATGTCTCGTTTGTCAGATCGCGCCCACCACTTTCGGCGCCACCTTTGCAATGTCGCAGTTGCAAGCCCCGGAACCCTTCATCATCATTGGTATAGTGCCGACCTGCGGGAAACTCCAGTGCAGGCAGGGCGCACATGAGATGAATAAAGAGTTTCAACGGGAGCAGGGTATTTATGATGCGGTGAATGCGTGTAGGATTTGTGGGAAATATGAGGAGGTGAAGAGATGTGACGGATGTAGGTCTGTGGTATATTGTGGGGAGCAGCATCAGAGGCAGGATTGGTCGTCTCATAAGCGGGAGTGTAGGCAGTTGGCTATGACGCATGGATTATCGTAGTGTAGAAAGCGCGGGAGGGTAGGCACTGCATGTAAGAGTTTGATTGTGTTAATTGTTCTTCATGATTGAGTTGAATACTACGACGCGCCATGAAAGCGCACATGTCGCTGTTCTTGTAACAATTATCAAGTGTACAATGAAAGACAAGTGGAGCCACCTAGCGCCGCGCTATGCTTTGCAAGAATTCCATAATTTCCATCCCAGTGCCAAATATATGCAAGTCCGTACCTAGTAGGCCCGAACCTTCTTCCCATCCATGTTAGCATTAATATCAGCTTTCCTCTTCCCAAGAACAGAGTCTGGAGTGCCGGGCATCTCAATGCCTACACCCTTACTGTACTCTTCGAAACAAGTGGCATGGTAAATCTTTCCACCCACATTCAAGGCATCCATCCATACAAAGTCGTTGGCGCCCACGTTCCACTGAGTCTCAAACTTCTCTTGGCAAATAGGACATGGTGCTTGCTGCAGTGTCACATCCTGCGGAACGCTGACATAGCGATCCTTTGTTTGCTTCTTGGCCTTTGCCCCGCCGCTAGCAGAGTCGTTCGATTGGTTCGGAGCAGTCTCGTCGACTTCCCTGTATTCGACCCACTCCTTCTCGGGGATATACCAGGAACGGTGAAAACCTCGCTTCGCGGCATCTGGATCCTTGACTTTAAAGTGCCAGTCCATATGTCGAGCCTTCTTCTCCTTGCCTTCAGTTGTGTTTTCAAAGCGTCGACCGCAGGTAGCGCATATGTTGGGCTTGGCTTCGTAGAGTCGGGAGATGAGGTTGAAGCGAGGTTGCTTCATCGACGCGGTGGTAAGGGCAATCTGATCCATCAAACTGGTTGGTGCCGGCGTTTGTTGTGCCATGGGCTGGGGTGCCATTGGCATTGCGTTCACAGGTGTGGATCCAGGCATATTGCTTAGAATTTTCAAGAGCCATTCAGAACTACCCAACGCTGGGGCGGAAGTGGGCTGTGGTGGCAACTGGGAAGCAGCAGTTGTTTGCGAAGGAGTCGATTGCATTGGAGATGGTGCACCGCCAGGTTTGCTGAATTGCGCAAGAAGTTCTGCCAAGTTGGTTGTTGGTGTCGTGGATTGCGGAGGTGGCTGAACTGCCGGTACTGGGGTTGAGACAGGGGGTGGATAACCTTGAAATGGTGGTTGGAAAGGAGCAGGCGCGGATGCGGAGTTTGGTTGTACGGGGGTCGATACGCGTTTTAGTAATTCTGCCAGATTCACAACTGGCGGATTTGTCGTTGGTGCAGGTTGCGGTGTTGACTGCACTGGTGGTCTACTAAGGCCTGCAAGGAGTTGTGCAACATTCGGTGGAGCGCTGCCTGGAGAGGCACTCACTTGAGGAGAAGCGGGAGGGTAGGCTGGAGGCATGGATTGCTGCGGTGGGTATACTGGCGTTGACGGGGCAAAGATTGGAGTTGGCGCAGGTGGAGGTGCCAATGCCCGGATTTGCTGGCGCACAGCTTCTAGTTGCTGCGGCGGTAGTGTTTGTGTGTCTAGGATTTGCTTGAGAGACAGGAGCGCTGATAGTTTTGTTCGGAGAGCAGCATCGGCTGGATTATGTGCGAACATATTTTGTGTTGTGCTAATCAGCTGTGTGACCTCCACCTTCAGATCAGCAAGGTCAACTGATGACATGGGCTGTGGCTGTTGAGGTTGATTGTATGTCATGGGCGGTGTGGCCGTAGGTGCAGGCCCGTATTGTGGAGTTGATGGATGAGACTAAGACACATTGTCAGTGAATACGCAAACTACTTTCAAGACAAACACTTACTGGTCGAGTCCGTGGGTCGTTGGGAGCAGCATAACGTGGGCCAGTCTGCGGTGGTGTTGATGTGCCCCTCCAGGCTACGTTGAGCGACGGAGGACGAGGTGGAAGTGCATGCTGTGGCCTGATCTGCTGCTGAGCTGCACGAAACTTAGCCAGTGCATTCTCAATGTCCTGCGTCACATCGGCTTGGAACACCGGGCGAGGATCCATCGACTCGGGCACAGGCATTTTCCACGTCTTCAGCAAGCCTTCCATACTCTTGCGGGTGCCCTGGTCCATGACAAGATAGGATTCCATAAAGGTCTTGTAGAGATTTCGACCGATGTAGACGGTATATGGGGTTCCAACATTCTTGACAATGGAATCAAGCACATAGAGAGCGGGAAGCTTATACTCTGGGCGTGTCTATATCGTGTCAGTCACGTAAATTAAAACATAGTAAAGGAAGGGTTGAGCAGTCATTTCAATAGATGACGGCGTCCGCACTTACCGTGCGAATATGCTTATCGAGCTCGTTGGATATGGCTTCCGCATACTCAGTGTTTTCTTTGGCGATGAGAGTCAAGTTACTAATTTCTGGTCTGCTATTCATCTTCAAATCTTGCAAAGCATCCCGGAAATCAGCTGCTACTTCAGCAGCCGGCAGAGACATGATGGGTAAGTATATGAGATAGTGGGCAGAATGGATATGTGCTGTGTTAGAGGTAATGTGAAAGTTGTGCGCAAGGGGCAGGGTGAGCGGATCGTTTCGCGGTCGGGGAGTCGCGATCCAGACAATGTCGAATGCCAGATGAACAAGATAGAAGTGCTTCCTCGCTCTCAAACACACGTAATGACAGTGTCTGTGTTGGTACTAGCTATGGCCGCGCCAATGACGCAGTTGAGAAGACTGCGCCGAACAGCTATGCAGTAACAAACTCGCTCTCCTACAGCTACTGCAAATCCCCCTTGTGTCTGTATGCCCTTCCTCCTTCAAGCCCTAAATATGGCAGCAACGCGCGACAGCAAAAATGTCGCCAAGGGTACTCTGAAGTCAGCCGCTGGAAAGGCGGAGTAAGCGGACTGCACTCAGGTGTGGAGAGTGGCCACTAGAAGGTATGGGCAAGGTGAGGCTTGTGTATATACAGCCTGAGGCGATGTGGGCGTGGAGCCTGAGCTAAATGATCATGCGGGCGTGAGGGAACAGAGGTGGTTGACCAAGTGAAGGACAGTCGCGAACAAGGCGCAAGCCGCACGGGCGCTCACGCCGGCTTGCCAAGCCCGGTGCCGGTAAAAGGTATCGCCGCGCGTCATGGGCAGTCGCGCTCCTTTGGACTTTCCTTTAAACATCACCTCGACAACGTCTTCCACCATTACTGCAAGAACCAAGCGCCAAACGTCTGTGAAATCCAGGCGCCCATCCGGTAATATCTAAATCCCGGCAAAAAAAGGCTCGATATTCAACATGGAGGACGTTGAGTTCACCAGGTCGCATTCCAAGTCGCCGCTTCCTGAGGCTGGCAACGACCTAGCCGACCCTCTGCGCCCCGAGATTGACGAGGAGAACTCTACTCCAAATCCCCCAATAGGCGACCCAGATCAAGACATGGAGGTCACAGAGACACGACCGGGCGAAATGCCCGACCAGGACGACGTCGAGGCTGGTTTGTCAGACAATGAGTCTGTCCTTTCCGAGGCACTAGATGACGACCAGTTGGACGAACAATTTGGCGATTTCGACATCAACAACGTTGCTATCGACGAGCGTCCAGCACAAGCCATTGACGAGGACAACGTCAAGCAAATTGGTGTACACAAACGAAAGCGCGCTGCAGGAGAAAACGAGGAGCCCAAGAAGAAGAAGAAGAGGGCAGATAAGCCACGACGCAAGAAGAACAAGGACGGTGACGATGACGGAGATATTGCAGAGGGCGACAGGCGGAGCAAGCGGTCTAAGAAAGGAGGCAAAGCAGCTCGAGGCGCAAGCCCAGAAGGAGATCCAGACGAGCACCTTACTCCAGAAGAACGTGCGTGCTAAAACTCCACATCTCATTTCCAATACTGACAAGGTGAATAGGTCGAAAAAAGGCACTCAACGCCCAGATCGACAGTATAGTCAAAGGAGGCTCTAACCGTCGCCGCAAGAAGGATGGCATCGATCTGGAGCAAATGGCCGATCAAGAGATTGAAGAGATGCGCCGTCGCATGGCCGCCGCTGCCGAAGCCGACAACGAAGGCCGAAAGCGCAACGAGCCCGCTCGCCATAAGCTCAAGCTTTTACCTGAAGTCACAGCTCTGCTCAACAAGAACACACTGAGAGATACCATTGTAGACCCGGAAGTAAATCTGCTTGAGTCGGTGCGTTTCTTTTTGGAACCTCTCAGCGATGGTAGTCTTCCCGCGTACGACATTCAGAAGGACCTTTTTGCTTCATTAGCAAAGTTACCCGTAAACAAGGACACGCTTGTCGCGTCAGGCATTGGCAAAGTCATCATGTTCTACATCAAAAGCAAGAAGCCCGAATTGACAATCAAGCGACAGGCCGAGCGCCTCTTTACAGACTGGACACGTCCCATTCTCAGGCGGACAGACGACTACCGCAAGAAGGAGTTTGCCCAGGCTGACTACGACCCAACGTATGTTCTGATCGATACACTTGGAAACTTGAACTTTGCTAACCAAACTGTAGTCAAACGAGAAACTCCGAGAAACCCATTAACACCCAAGAAGCCGCCAGGGCAGCGACCAGGAAGAAGGCGCTCGAAGCTCCTCGTGCTTTCCAACGCGCTCGCATGGAGTCTGGTCCCACCACCTACACTATCGCGCCCAAGAGCAACGTTGTATTCAACGAGAACGCACGAAATCGCTCGAGCAACGTGGATATCATGAAGCAGATTCGTGGTGGTCGTGGTGGTGCCAGGCGTTAACTCGGTGGATGACAGCCCTTTTCTTTCCTTGGTTCTTCGATTCAAATGCTCGCACTTTTACATCAAGGCTGGTATCGCAGTCTCTATAATGGAACGAGTCAGGTGCTTTTGACGCTTTCACACGCTGGCACGTTGACGTTACAAGTGGTCAAATTGCATAGCAGGCGTACTTGCGCTCTAGAGCTAGTCGTTGGACCCACTAGCTCAGTGTATACTAGACAAAATTATTTCTATCATTTCGTTATCATTTCGCCATAGGATGCATGTGACACTGTCCAACCTCAACCACTGAGTTAGTAAGCCTAGTAGTAGTTCCGCAAATTGACAAACTAAAGTTGTACCTGGAGATCAATTCATATCACAACCTTTGAACCAGTAAACGCAGCAAGTCTCTCTGTATTGGTAGCTGCACAAATGTATATGACCGTAGTCAATTTCAAAATATATACAAACACAAGAAAATATTCTCTCACTTCTCCCCCTAGATCACCACCACCTCTACACGACTAAAGCCCAAGCCCAATATTGATCTCAACGTCAATGTCAATGTCAATACCAAGCTCAAGCCCAAGCCCGTGCCCATCAATCCTAAACACATTCACCGTATCCACAAACGTGCTGTTATTATCTCCCTCCCATGCCAAATCCTCACCATCCCTCGTCACCATATGAATACTGCCTACAGTGTTCACATTGTACAGATCCACCGCATACGAGTTCCTGCCGCCCTCAATCGACAAAATGCGATTCTGACACACAGCCCCCGCGCCAATCGCCGAACAACTAGTGTTGTAGTTGTTGAAAAACGAATACAACCCCACTCCATACCCCTTAATGTTATTGGAGCGCACGATACGTACACCGTATCCCGATGCGTTACTCGTGGAGTTTCCCGAGGGCTTTTTGGTAGCGAAGATGGGATCAGAGAGGGCAGGGTTGGGCGGGAAGGGAATGGTGGCGTTGGGGTTGGGTTGGTAGTAGGCGGTTTCTGTTTGGACTTGGCCCATGAAGATGTTGCGGGTATCGACGAATTGGTACTCGTACATGACGTGGTGTTCGACAGCTGTGCCGTAGAGCCAGAGGCGGCCATTTATGGATTCTATGAGGAGGCCGCGGCCGGCATAGATGGTTAGTTGCGTGTTGTTGCTATGCTCCTGGTCGAGGTCATGGTCGGATGTCCAGAACCCTGGGAAGAATAAGGTTAGTTTTGTGTATTTTTGAGGTGAGTTTGAGGGGAGACTTACAGTTGTTTTCCATGTATATTCCGGCACCAAACTTGGTTATGTGCATAGACATATATGCGGCGATACATTGTTGGGACAGGTTTTCCGGTGTGATGGTGATATTGGGCGTCTTTTCACACTCTGCTGTCTGCAGGTCCGATCCTGCAAAGCCTCCAATTCTGGTGTGTACCTCCCAGAGTCCCGATGGCTCGCCTTCGTAAGTACCAAGATTGTACTCTATGAGGATAGCGCCCGCTTGTCGGCCTTGCCCCGACACAAAAATGTCGGACAATTCAACACGGCCCATTTCACCAGGACGAGCAACCTGAACAACAGGTTTAGGAGCGTCCATGTCATCGAAGTAGGGACCAGCGTGAAAGATGACAGAGGCGAGAGCTTCACCCACGATAATGGCGCCCGGTGGGATGTAGATAGTGGATGTGACTCTGTAATAACCAGCATCAAGGAAGAGAATCTTGCCTGCTGCGGACGCTTGCAAGATGGCAGCGTTAAGGGCGTCGGTGTCGTCCGTACGACCATCTCCAGTGGCACCAAGGGTGCGAGCGCTAAGAAACTGCGAAAGAGGAACATCTTCATACTGAGGCTTGGCGCGCTCGTAGTATTTTCCTTCCGCATCTAACAACTCAGCTGGTCGCTTTGTGGGAGCAATAGAGCCACGCGCCTCGATGGGACCCTTTGGGACATAACGATGCCCGTCAGCCCAACCATCAATGATTTTAGTACCAGAGGTTCCTGCAAGATACGTTCCGTTCGGTCCTTGTATACCAACTCCAACATTGCTGAGCTTGAGGTTCTCCAGGTATAGTGCTCCAGCAGCTGCGGGCTGTGAGTCATCAGTCCTCGAAGTAGCGATGGCGATCGGGGTGTTGTTGATCTCGCTATCAATCAACGTGATAGATCCTATGTTGACAGCAGACGGACCGCCAGCAGTAATGTTGAATCCAACCCGGCAGTTGTTGATGGTTACCGACTTGTATGTCCATCCCCAATCCCAGAGTTGGTTGACGGCAGTATCAACGTTGTTGAAGGTAAGGTTACGGGTCGTGTACTGCTGGTTACCAACATTGAACCCAATTTGACCTCCATTGAAGACCAAATCGGTCATGAATCCTGCAGATCCAGCTTCAACCAGGATTCCTTGGTGCAGCGTTCCTTTGTCTGCATTCATGTTGAACACGATGTTTTGAAGGCTAGTCGTCTGTGCCGTCGGCCAATGGAGACCGGTAGCTGAGAAGTTGGCCGGAAGCGCGGTCGTGTCGAGGATGAGATTACGGATCTGACGGAAGAAGGTGTTGGTGGATCCAAAGGCAGTTTGACCAATACGACGTCCATATCCCAGGTATGGGGAGCCATCAATCAAGCCAAATCCAACAGTACTATTGTACTTGGGAGAAGCCTTGATAGTAGGAAGACAGTTGGGATTTCCAATGATCTACACACAATTAGTCTGGATCCAACTGTAGTAATGCTTTGGTTTACCTGTGTGTAATAGTAATCGATGATGGCGCTGGAGATTATGTACGTTCCACCGGGAAAGTACACAATGGCTGGCGTGGTGGTGGAACTTTCGCAGAAGCCAGGCTCACACCTATTACCCTCGGACATGGCTCTTTGAATCGCCGCAGTATCATCGGTGACTCCATCGCCGACTGCGCCATAGTCTTTGACATTCCTGAAAATAGTGTAGTTGTGCGGGTTGGGGTTGAAGCTCGCAACACCTTGGTGCTTGATGTTCTCCAACCAGTATGGAGCGCAGTCTGTTTCACTGGCTTGTTGACTCGTCGGTTGATTCTTAGGTTCACCGATGTTCACCCCCAGCTGGATTGCAGGGACCACAATGTCGCGAGATTCATGGGCGAATTGTTTGTGTTTATGAGTGGTAAGCGCTAACACATGGCTTGAGTACAAGCCCAGCACAATCGAGGCTGTTTTGAACAACATATTAACAAAAAAAAGACTGTGGAAGTAAAGAGTGACGAGAAGAGGAAAACAATAGCAGTACAGGAGAGGAAGCAGGGGTACAGGTATACACTTTATACGTATCGCGGGCAGCCAAATAAGTCCCTTGCCGCAGCTGACGGTCTCTAGGCCGATCGCATGCAGCTCGTGGAGTGGCGATCAATCACATCTGAGTGGTTGCCCAACGACTACGCCAGCTATGCGTCATTTAGCCCAGTGCTTGGAGCGGCGGAGCTTGGAGTGGCGTAGATGTCAACTTTGTGGGGTCTCGTCGTAGCACTTCCGCTTCCAAGGGTATCCATCCATGCCGAACGAGCTACCCTGGATGAACTCACTCATCACCGTCACACACTCAGCTAAATACCTAAAGCACCTGTTGCTTTTGTCTCAATTGACGCTATGCGGGTACAGTATTCCGATTGCTAATTGCGATGTGGTGTTGGCGGTGCCACCACAAGCTTGGCCAATGTAAGAAGCACCGATGGATCTCAACGGATGCTGCTACATACACGGCGCGAAGCGTCGCCAAAAAGTAGATCGACAGACGGAATGCCTGTCACAACGAAGTAGCGCTGACTAACTCGGACCGTTTCCACTCGGAAGAGAGGTTGGCGGAGTAGTAAATGATGTATACGAATGGGTCTAAGGGTAGAGATATTCAGGGGAGCGCCACAGTCCCGGTGCGTACAGGACAAGGTTCGGCCCTCAACAGCAACGTTATTTATTTTTACTTTTGTACCAACAGCAACTGCAATAAGAACCACGAAATTATTGCAATGTAGAAAGATTATGATGGAACAGTGTGTTGAGAGAGAGATATGGCTTGTGATTATTTCCGGCTTAATCCGTACCTATACTTGTATTGTTCTCACTCGGCGTCACTACCAGGGCCTTTAGTCGCATCCCGCGGTCGGCACACTCGTCACCCTGGCTTCGCTTTGTTTGGCATTCATTTGTTCGTGTTTGTGGCATTGGATTCCAAGAGATTACACCAAGCTCAGCGGTCATAAAGCCTGCAAATACGTACTCTCGTTGCGTCATTATTGGATACGACCCTGAAGCCACTCCAATGCTCAAATCGCTACCATCAACCTTTGATGTGCAAGCCTATTACCACTCGCAATACCGGACCCGGACCCTACAACGACATTGTGAGCCAATGGCGACTCTTGGAGATTTGAAAATCTAATGGGCGTGTAATGAGTACGTTGAGAGTCGGACTCATCGTTATGTCGCATACGATGATACACAATGATCATATGGGTATCCTACAAACCCCAAAGACAAAGCACTACGGTGCTAGCTAATCCATTACCTCGTCGGACGCCCTTATTAGGAATGCTCCCGCATCCCTATAGACCTCAGCTTTTGACGCCCTTCCATCTTCATTATCTTGATCCAAGCACATACGCACCGTCCTGATCCAATTCTCCAGCATGCCTCTCCCTATTTCTAACAGATAATATTCTACACGTGCTTCAACAGGACAATTCTCGTCCACACCCGCACCAACAAGGTATTGCCCATTCACGATCCCTCGGAGTTGGGCTAGTCGCTCAACCCACTCACGGTCTGGGATGATACTCATGAAACACATGGCACGAAACATGGCTTCGAGTCGGGGAGGAGAGGTGGTGTAAAGTGTGTAAAGGACGTTGTATCTGTCCACGACACGCAAAACAGAGGCGGCGTTGGAAAGGAGGGACTGAGCTAGAGAACGACGCGCTATTGCTGCGGTTCTACAGTGGGTTCTAGATTCTGCGATGAGGGTGGGAGGTCTGTCGGTACCAATGGGTGGGTCAAGGGAATGCGTGCCTATCTCAGATCCAGGGGTAGTCTTCTTGTGGAGCTGCAGGTGGATGGGGTATGTGGCATGCTCAAGGTCATCGAGTGAAGGAGTAAATAGGAGGGTGTCGGCGACGAGCTCTTCAGATTTGAAAAGACTCAGGAGGTACACTGGCTTTTGTTAGTCTTTAATACACAATCGCAATAGTCAGGGTTGCATACTCAAGTCGCGTGTACGCCACGTGATTGTCGCATCAAGTCCAACAGGTGCGGGTGGAATGACCGGTATTGAGAAGTTATTGAGGCTGGCCTGGTTTGAATGAGGGTCATTTGTGATTGGCGATGAGTATCTGGGTGTAGGAACCGGGATCTGGACAGGTTCAGTGAACGCCGCCTTCTGAAGGTTCTCTGTAACTTCTGCGGGGCCACTGTGAGGCGTTGCGTTGTCGTCATCGTCAACCACGGCGGTCTGGGCGGTCTCGGGGAGCAAAGACGCTGGCTCAACGTACGTGTCGCTGAAAGGGTCGACAGGCACGTCTTTCTCGGTGCTCATGTTGCGGACGTCACGGGGATAGCGTGGTGACTGTATACGTGCACGAAGAGGGTCGTAAAGAGCTAATGGAAGAGAGAGGGAAGTGGTGATTGTGAGTGAGAGAAGCGAAGCGGTAAGGAGAAGGTGTAGAGCGACGGTCTATAAGAGGTGGCTGTATTGTTGGATAATTGCGACATCAATAATTGACAGCAAACTCAGTGATGGCACGCGCGGTAGTGCGGTGGTGGAGCGCCCAGAGTCACTCCGTCTATTCAAAAGTGACAATAGGAACAGGATTTGAGTGAATGCGGAGAGAATTTCGCATTATCAGTGCATCACAGAACGCAGTAGGTCAACTGCAGAGCATGTATTGTAATTGCAGCAAGCTGACCGCTTCGTCACAGCGCAAACAGGTCGCCCCGGGTATAGTCACAGTCGCAGATTGGAATTCATGTCGTTGATTCAGTCCTTGGCAACTCTCTGGCGGCATATATACAGAGCCTAGTGAGTAGCAAAAATGTTGCGCGTACGCAAGTGGACTGGCGTCTCTCCCTTTGGCGCATCTGGTATATTCTTCTCCAAACCCTGGCAAAGGTGAGTCATGAGCATAATAGGGCGACATTCATACGTACCAGCTTCTCGAACACGCATTTGTTCAGCTTGCGCTCCTCAGACCTGCAGTTCCACAACTGTTGATTGTGGTTTTCTAGACATTGCCAGTGGGTGCGGAACTGTGTTAGGCAGTTCTCGTTGATGTCCTTGATACTGCCACATATATCAGTATCAGATATTCCGCGTCTTATCCGGTACAAGCACATACACGCTCGCCGCACACCTGGTGACTTTGCGGCCTTCCTTCATGCAGTCAAACTCGCCCCGGCCATTGGCCTCGGTCTTGCACATCATGTAGTCATCGTTGTAATCCTTGCAACGCGCGCCAATAAAGTAGGATGCACTGAGAAGCGGGGCAGAACTAGCTCCAAGCTCCTTGACTTTGGGGATGTCGTCGGGTAGAGGGGTGGTGTCGATGAGGGCTTGCTGGTTGAACCTGGGGCCTGTCAGTCGGCAGATCTTGCAGTGTGATTAATGATAATTTGCTACCTGGGCTGACGCGACGACATGGTGAAGTTGAGGTGCCAATGGCGGGCTATCGGCCTGTGAATTGAAGATGATGCTCGTGAGGTCGTCGCGGAAGCTTGGCGGTTCACTAAACCGGCAGGGATGCGATGCGATCCGCCGACAAGTTGTGCCTGAACCTTTGTCGACGAAAGAGAAGACTCGCCTTCTCTTTTCCTCTGCCTGCATCTCAACTACATTCGTGCGTAGGCTTCTGGAGATTTTGTTCCTCACTATGCGCGCTGATTAAGCTACACGGTACTTTCGTCCTTTGCCAACGTCGCCCTAGGGCTCTCCGTTCGCGTACCCAAGCGCGACCGAAAACAAACAACTGAAGCTCCTCACTTCGCGACCTGGATATAGCGTCACTCGTTTGCACCACTCGCGGATCCTCCTAGACATACCATATACATCTTAGTTCTCGTCAAATATGGCTTTCAGCTTTAGCAATACTGGCGGTGGAGAGAAGAAGACCGGTACCTTGTTTGGCAGCACCACAGCACCCGCTTCGGGTACATTCGCTCAATCGCAGACCAACGCGACAGGAACTGGCCTCTTTGGTTCGACGGCTGCCCCCCAGAACAACAGCAACAGTCTGTTCGGATCCACACAGCCTCAGCAGAGCACCGGTCTCTTTGGTCAAACCCAGCAGCAAAATGCTGGTTCGAGCCTCTTCGGACAGCCACAGCCGCAGCAACAACAACAAAATGCTGGCTTCAGTTTGTTTAGCCAGCCGCAGCAGCAACAGCAGCAGCAAGGGCAACAACAACAGCAACAGACAAACATGAGCAATAGTCTCTTTGGAGGCTCGTTCCAGCCTGCGCCCATCCTGAACAATGCTCAGGCGCAAAGTATCCAACAACAGCGAGAAGGCCTTCCTCAACTACGGCAGTCATCCGCACAGCCTTTCGCTGGCTCCACCATGGCAGGTCAAAGTATGGGCACCTCCATGTCTATAACGAGACAATACTAACAACCTTACAGGGGAGAAATCGGTCGTCGAGCAGATACGGATCCTGAATAACAAGTGGGACCCTGAGAACCCCGAATGCGTCTTCCAGTACTACTTCTACAACTCGGTCAAGCCCGAAGAGGCGCCTTTTTACGGGCCGTCGCAGGGCGAGGATGAGAGGAAATGGGAAGAAGCTCTGTCAAAGAAGCCAAGCCCGGGCGCCATTCCTGTGCTTGCGCGCGGTTTTGAACAAGTTGGAGAGCGCATACGACAACAAGCCGTCGCCGTGACAGCGCTACGAACCCGTCTACATGAGATCAACAATAGCCTGTCGTTACTAAAGGACGCACACGAGCTGACAGTAGCGTCGCGCATCACCGAAGCGAAGCGGAAACACATCGTCTTCACCCAACGAACACTAGCCCTTGCGACAAAGGTACAAATCTTGCGAAACCGAGGCTACGTCATGGACCCTCAGGAGGAAGACCTGAAGAAGAATCTCATTGAGCTTGAGAAGCAAACCTTTGATCCCGTCTTGGGAGGGCGACAAGAGGAGATTTGGGCGCGTATGTCCGGCGTGCGCGAGCGTGCACGGATACTACAGGAGGAGACTGAGAAGATGGGCAGGACCATTGATCAGCAGCAAAACGGCGAGCTTCTCTCGGAAGAAGACCAAAAGGCGCTGGAGAAGGTAAGATTTCCTCAGACACCACCTGCACATGCCCCAACTAACATTCCCCAGCTCCTCAAAGACTACGACCGACAACTCGAGCACCTCAAGAAATGGGTCGACGATACAAAGGAAGAATACGACGAGTGGGAGACGACAAAGCAGTCAAGGCCACTCAAGCGGTAAAGGGAATATATTCCATATTGCGCCGTTGGGCATGTACGATGCAGGATGATGATTGTCATATTGGCCAAAGAAATACATTGAGCATTGTGAGAGATACTAAGTAGTTATGGATTTGCACTCTTAGAGAGCTCCTCATAATTTTAAGCGTTGCAAGTCATGCAGCTGTTTCTGCGCTCCAACGGAGACATTTCCCGGAACTTTGAGGATACTGTTTTCAAGTCCGCTGTCGTGTCATAGGAAATGGACATATGTACACACAAACCACCCTTATAGACCAGTTATTATTACAAGCGCCCATGTGCCCGCGCACGTGTTATACAGTTTCCTTCCTTGTGTGTTTATCGCCTAGCCGATCTCTTATTCTCCACCTATCGTCATGGGATATATCTCATCATCGCAGGTACCGCTCGCAGTTATCGTCTAAAAAAGCTTGGAAACATATTCGACTAGATGCGGCGCTGGCAATTTATTAGCCCTCTATTCATAAACCTTCCTCCATATCCCTCTCCTCCTCGTGCAGTACAGAGAACTTACAGAGATAAAGTACTACGGCGCTTGCAGCCGTCCACTTGATATCGCTCATTGTCTGGGCCTCGGCTGCGGCGAGCTCTTGCTTGGAGGGTTGGGGTGGTGCTGCATACTCGGGTTAGTTTTGCTATGTCTCTTTTTTCTTGGTCCCGGTGGGAGGAAGGGAGAGGGTCTTACCTCCGAACATATTTGCGGTTAATGTGAGAGGTGCGCTGGTGGTAGTGTTGGTGGTGCGGTAGCTGGGTCTTGAAGATGACGTGAATGGTCGTACGCAAAAGTTTGGATCGGGGCGGTTCGGAGTTTAGGCGGAGGTGGGGTCACGTGGGGACGTGGGTGGGTTTCGCGATGGATGTTTGTGTATGATGTTAGCAATATATGATGGTTTCTCGATTGAAGGCATCATTTAGAGTATTTTGTCATGCGTTATTTCGAATCATACAAGTAAGTTCGCAGTCCTGCTGAAAGACTACATTCTTGATATTTGACTGCTGCGCATACAATCCGTAGTCTTCAACACATGTGGTTGACCATTATCCGTTATTGGGTATCTCTTTTATACAGTCATCAATCCAACTCGTGCCAATCATTGCTCTCGTCTTGCCTTCAAGCCCTCCTTGCACCACCGCCTCCACCATCTCCACCACGCGCAGCTCCCAAGAACCGATCTCGAAGACTACCTCCCCTTGCAGCCGTTGAAGGACCTACAGGCGAACTCCTCAAGAAAGAACTTCCCTCGAGCATGGAACTGCTACCGTCTATACCGAAACTGCTGCGTCCGTTGCCCAGATCAACACCCAGACTAATCCTTCCTGCTGCCGGCTGCACACCCAATGCCATGCCATGAGGAAGTCCAGAACTGCGACGACCGGAGCTGCGTCTTCCACTCGAGCGGCGCCTAGTAGAGCGTCTTGAACGCACGGAGCTGAGACCAGGTGGTAAAACGCTGTTGTCGATGTCGCTAGAGTCTTCGAGCTCAGAGTCGGTGTGTTCGTAACTGCCGGCTTCAGGAACGTCGTCGTCGAGGTCGCGCTCATCTTGCAGAACGCCAGCCATTTCGGCTTCCTCCATCTCTAGCATGTGAGATACTTCCGCCTCGAGCATACTACCTTCGATGAAGCTGTCCTCGTTGAAGGGAACCGTGCTCTCTTCCCGGCCTTCCTCGCTTCCTTCTTCTTCTTCTCCACTGCTGCTTCCAGACTCTGACTCTGACTCTGACTCGCTCGAGTTACTCTGTGCCTCCGGGACGTCATCGTCTAAGTCAACTTCTGCCTCTCCTTCGCCAGCCTCTTCCTCTCTCGCTCCCCTCTCTCGCTCCTCTTCGTTGGCAGCATCCTGTTGGGCAGCAGCGAGATCCAACATAACTTGTTCCCTGCGCTGCATCAACTCCTGTTCTTCCTTCTCGAGTTCTTCATCTCTGATCTGTTGGAGAGTCTTTGAGACACCAATTGGACGAAGCCAGCCGGCGCCAAAACGGCAGACGTTGAGTTTGCGCTGCGTTATTGTGTTTTCATCGGCAGTGAGGGCGGCAAGAAAGGCGTTATGGTTCTGGTGCGAGCCATGATGTGAGGTCGGTCGGCGGTGGCCATGCGAGGTGTTAGGAGGGGAGTGAGAGCTGTCGGAGAAGTCTGTGTGCGTTGTATTGTAAGAAGGCCATAGCCTGGCGTCCTGGTATAATCGTCAGTATTGTTGCTGGTTGCTATATGCTTTTCAAGCCTTTCGCTGCTGCAATGTTGCATGATTATGATGAATCGAGTAAACTATTGTACGTACCGGAACCGGGGCAATCATAGGTAGAGAAAACATCCTAAACGCTCTACTATACTCTGTACTTTACTGAAAGTCGGGCGCAGCTTATAGACAGACATATAAGTGAGAGACCGAGTCGCGTGTCGGAACGCGTTGTTTAGTGGGTGAGCTCATGGCCCCACTTCGGCTTGTCCTATTACGGAAAGTGGCTGTAGATCCAGGTCATGGCCAACATGATCTTTTCGGATCATCGTATGCGGGATAACGATGAGTCCGACTCTCAACGTACTCATAGGTCATGGCCACTCGTAGCAGACGTGAGTAACATGGTGTACACAGGTATGAAAGCCGCTAGGTATACACATCCTCTACTTCCTACAAATCAAGTCCTTTCTTTAACAAACCAGGGCATGGTCGTCTACATGTCTTTGTCTGAAGTATCAAAACATGCATATGATGTTGAAATCGAATAACAACAGAAACTGCCCATTCTTGGACGTTCATAAAGAAAGAACTCTTCCGTAAATGATACATCTATTGGATCATGTACGATCCATAATTGAACAATGTTGACTCTAAATCAACTCTGAACGTTATCACAAAACACTGCAGGGCACAAATGCATGACATTGAATAGATTTTCTACCTTCTCCATGTAAATCACTATGATTAAAGCCTTTGGTACATAGAATAGCTCTGGTATACACCCGCGAATGTAGTTATATCACGACACATTATGTCCCAGTCCTTGTTTTCATAAACTATTGAGCTTTATGTAGTTCAGTTTTACACCCTTCGCCATGTATTCTACTTCGAATACTTTCTCTCCAAATCCGACACATGTTACTCCGTAACTTGGATCCCACTCCCTTGAATCATTAATGAGGACGGCTTTTACCTCACCACGTGTGCCTCATTCGTTCCAAAATATCTGGTCGAGTGCTTTTACCTTAAAAAGATTACTGTTGCCCTCAGCGGCATAGTAAATAGTAAAGTTTCAGCTCGCATGCAGCACTAGGGTATTGACACTGTAGGATTGCCCTCAATGTTCTTCACTTCTCTACATCCAAACTCCGCCTAGTTATCAAAACTACAAGATGTAGACGTCATGTCTTTTTTTTCCTTGCAACGAAAATGTGGAACGTGTAATCATTGTGCATCATTCGTCCCAGCCATGTTTAAGTGTACTAAATCTTTTTAGCATCGACTCTCTTTGCATGTAAAAGTCGTTTAATCTGAAATGCTAGACAGCTTCCGGACATGCTTCCTCTCTTTTTATTCTTCTTCTCTCTTTTCTTTCGTATAGTCAGGACCCATACATGAGTGAAAAATGCTAGCAACATGACTGTGCCTACCTATGTCACATATAAAATGAAGTAATTTACCTTCGGAATGAAGATCAAAAGGCGAGCTGTTCATATGCGTTAGAGATGAGAGAGCCTGAGAAAACATCGATCGTGGGAGTTCGAATACAGACTATGTCCGAGAGAGTGCTACATATGTACACCTAAAATCCCCCCCTGGAGCACTCCCCTTCTACCATAAAACCTCGACTTAAATATAGAATCAAAACCATACTAAAGAAGTTTTATGTTTTCCGTTCCCAAAAACCGCACAAGCCAAAAGTCATGCTGTGCAAACATCACCGACTCCAATAAATCCAATAATACTGCACCCCAAACACTACTCTTCCATCCGCATGACCACGCACAGCCAATGCACATCCTCCAACTTAACACATGACCCCCCATTCACCGGATCATCCTACACCTCCTACCAGCAATCTCGACCAAAAAAGCACATGTACAGAAAAGCTTCTGCAAAGCTTCCACGTTCCAAAAAAGCCACCTTACTTCACCGACACCCCGACACCGGTCGCGCAAAAAGCATTTACCAGTAACAACAGCCCCCACACGACAAGCGCCCGCCCGCCCATGCATGTCAGTCCTGCGTTTGCGCAATCTGGTCAGGGAAATTAAAGACATTCCGGCAGCAGTAGCCAAGAAGAAAAAGAACAGAAGCCCGCATGGACATGTGTTTGACAAATCCAAAACATTGGGGTTTAATTAACTGATCCACTAACTACTTACTACTTACTTACTTCCAAGGTTCACTTTAAAGCATCTGCGTTAAAACGACGCAGGACCCAAGAGCGAACAAAGCGAGAGCGAGGTTGCACATGTTGCTAAGACCCGGGAGAGGCGTTCGAGGTAAAAACAAGTTAGCTTCTCGGTTTAGCGGTTCGCTTGGACCCCGTGTTTTTTTATTTCTTGCTCTATTTGCGCATCGTGAGAAATGAGATGATGTGATTTAAGCTTACACGGTCCAAAATTACAATACGATGGGGGGGGGAAGTTCCCGCCCCGGATGGGACTAGGAGGCTAAGCTAGTAGAGAGAGAGATAGACGAGAAGGAGATTGTGTGGTACGGCATGTAACTCTTTACGGCATTAGTTTCTGACATGATGCTCTTGAGAAGAAGCAAAACCTCATAGCCGGTGTCAAAGGAAGATTTTTTTGTTTGGCACTGGTAAGCTTGCAAACGTAAACGTTGGTGCCGGAGACTGCCGACTACCGACAAAAAAAAGACTTTAGTGGTGAAGGAACTGCGACAAGGCAAAACATGACCTTTAGGCGTCCAGTATGGCAATTAGGTATCGGTATCGGAGGGAAGCGAACAACAACAGAAAACACGAGTCACGACACACACGGTCGGGCCCCCAGTGCCATGTGAGCAACTATCTTTCAGCCTCCCTTGGCACTCCGCGGAGACTAGATACCAATCCGTCAATGTACCCGTACCGCCGTTACCCATCTTCTCTCCATAGTCTCTCCATAGTCGGAGGACACGCATCATGAAGCCTGCTATTCCCGCAGTTCCCACCTGATCCCATGTTCCGCGCACCGCCGTTGTCGGTCCAAAAATAACAAACAAAAATCTCTCCTCAGGCCACGGCACCACCTCGGTCGGTCCAATACGTAACGTAGCCCTCCCGGCACTTCGGTCATTGTCCATGTCCGTTTACGTTTACCCCAAGACCCAAGACCCAAGACCTAAGAGAAAAGCCCGCTGAGAACCGGCGGTGCCCGAGCGTGATTCGCGAGCGAAGGAAAACCTATTCCGATTTCCCGCAAGGCTGAACCAAGAAAGTGGAATTATGCAAGGCGAAAACTAAAAAAACAAACAAAAAGAGTTTGAGAAACGGCTGCACAGTAAGCAAGTTCAAAAATGTAGTAGCGGTTAGCCGAAAAGCCACCATGTTCTTCGCTGGCAAGGCGAGCGCGAGGATTAGAAAAAAAATCAATCAATCACTACAACACGAAACTCAAGCCGTTTAGTCAAACAATGCTGTGCCGGCTGCCGTCGCTGGCTCCCATCCCCATTCAGCAGTCCCGGAGGCGCGCCCGCGGTACGAGGACTGTGGCTAAGCGATAAAAAGCTTAACGCTACGAAGGCGCTAGGATCGCGCATTTTAGCCGTACCGCCGTCGCCCACAGACACAGACGATGGGTCGAGATTCTCGCCGTGGCGCCGTTGCAAGGAAGAAATGCAAGCCTCAGGAAACATGGGCTGAACTCGGCTCTTCTTCTTGACAACCGAACAGGCGCGTAATCGAGATGGAAAGGGGGGATAACAAAGGTGTTGAAATGCGGGAATTTAGAAAGCTGGTCTATACTATTGACCTGCAGCTGTTTCCTGCAGTTGCAAGAAAAACAATAGATACGTAAGTAGGGTGGCATGCGTAGTCGGCAGGCCCGTCCTCGGACGCTGATAGCCGCTAGCACCAGGTTGCGGTAATGGTAGTGCAGGTGCACGACGCAGGGAGAAAGTTGAAAGTGGAGAAGATACTATTCATGTGTGCACAGCTGTATTGCTGCGGTGCAAACAAGAAGATCGGCTGAAAGCGTACGTTGTCAATCAAGGTCAGCTTCGTTTATCAAACTATGTACGCGTACTACAACCCGTAAACTGCAACCCAGTTTACCGCACGC